CTTGCTCTTCTGGCAGCTTCAACCATTGTTAGTTGTTGTTTCAATGTGACCTCTCCACCTCTTTCTGGATTTGCCTCATGTTCGTTGATCTTCTCCTCTTTTTCTATTTGCCAAAGCAGCAATTGCTCACCCAAATATTAGCTTTTCAAGGGAGCCCATACAAGCAGCACAAACCAGAAGGGCTAGCTCTTATTGTAAGACTCCATTAAAAGAGTGTTGCAAGTGTGAAAGTGCTCCTCCAGGCCCTCACCTTTACTCTCCTAAAAATTAGGGAGAGTCTCTTCTGAGACATCTTTCTCCATCCTTTTTCTTTCAGACTCAAATTTCATTTATCAGACAATTGTCTGGGCTGTGCCTCTTTCTCCTGTCTTCCAAGGTCAGCTAGACCTCGACTTTCAACTGTTTGATGTTACAGTGGACACCCCAAAAGATACTTATGATCCGACAGCTGCCCCAAATCCCCCCATTGTCACATGACCACATTTAGGGCACTCAAACACTGACCCACATTTACGGTCATTTGCAGTGCCCTGTGTCCACATGACCACAATTTTCCTGTACAATGTTTTGACCAAAGACCACCATTTATTTCCCCAAAGTGAACAATGGATTTGCTTAATAAGCGCAGTGTTTGCTTTACAACCACTGTGATTGCTTAATGACCACTGCAAAAAAATTCATAAAAACAGGACTGATCACATGAAGACCCACTTTGCAAACATCACAACTGACAACTATAATGGACAGGTTCCATTTCTGTCATAAATCAAGAACTACCTGTACATCAAACCACAAGGGAGAGGGAATATATAAATAATTGTAAAAATACAAAGAGGACACATAAGTCTTTTTTTTTTTTTGCATACAGATATCTTCACTGGATTTTTAAGTGACGTGCCAAATCTGTACTCCAAAATTAGACAGGGCAAAGATAGGAATGAATTATCATTGAATTAGTTTTAAATGCAAATTGGCATCAGCAGTAATAACATTGCAGAAAAGTAGATTTTAGTGACCATAACCACAGTTTGGTGGGAAGCAAGATATATGACTTGCCTTCTTCTATCTTGCAATGATAGCTAAATTTCAATCAGAATAGAGCTTGACGGTCTTCTAGTCCAACCCCCTGCTCAAGCAGGAGACCCTTTACAATTTCAGACAAGTGGCTGTCCAGTCTTTTCTTAAAAATGTCCAGTGATGAAGCACCCACAACTTCTGACAACAAGCTTTTCCACTGGTTATTCTCACTGTCGGGAAATTTCTCCTTAATTCCAGATTGCTTCTCTCCTTGATTAGTTTCCATCCATTGTTTCTTGTCCTGCCCTCTGGTGCTTTGGAAAAAAGTTGACCCCCCCCTTCTTCTTAGGGGCAGCCCCTGAAATATTGGAACACTGCTAACATGTCTCCCCTGGTCCTTCTTTTCTCTAGACTAGCCAAACCCAAATACACAACTGTTCTTCCCATGTTTATTAGTTTAATAATCTCAGTTGCTCTTCTTTGCACTTTTTCCAAAGTCTCAACATCTTTTTTGTAATATGATGACCAAAACTGGATGCAGTACTCCACATGTGCCCTTACTAAGGCTTTACAAAACAATACTCATATTTTACAGGAAATGTATCACATATCTGTGATATAGCAATTATGTCAGGCTGTCCATCACTCTTTCATTAAATCAGCCTCCCCACAACCTCTATTGCATATCGTCGGTGTCCATTTACCTGCCTCCTTTTCTATACTAAACTGGCATATTATTGATTAAGCTATAAAGACAGATGTGGATATAATACAAACTATAGAGCAGTGTTTCTCAACCTTGACAATTTTAAGGCATGTGGACTTCAGCTCACAGAATTCCACAGCCAGCAATGCTGGCTGTGGAATTCTGGGAGTTGAAGTCCACATGCCTTAAAATTGTCAAGGTTGAGAAACACTGCTATAGAGCAATACAGGAGAAATTTCCCGACAGTGAAAACAATTAATCAATGGAACGACTTGCCTCCAGAGGTTGTGGGTGCTCCAACACTGGAAGTTTTTAAGAAGAGACTAGACAGCCATTTGTCTGAAATGGTATAGGGTTTCCTGCCTGAGCAGAGGGTTGGACTAGAAGACCTCCAAGCTCCCTTCCAACTCTGTTATTCTGTTATTATTACTTCCCAAATTGGGCACAAATTACCCCAAGCTGGGTAAAAGTGGTTTAACTTTGGTTCAAGACACACAATCCCATTTCCCATCACAACGGGGGGCATTGCAATTGATTAAAAGATTGCCATGTGTACTACAATATATTTTAAAATCTCCCAAAGTATTCCAACTAAGACAAAACTTGAAAAGATTACCAAGGCTAATTTCTTGAAATCACATAGAGATCATTAAATTGTATTATTTTTATGATACAGATCGTCCTCAAGTTATGATGTGAATGTTTGAAGTTATAAGATAGGGACTTATGACCAGTCCTCAAAGTTCATTTAGACTTTCTGATAAACAATTTTGGCAATGAAGAAAAAAGATAGGAAACACTGCTATAGGGATTTCTTATGGCGTTAGACCAGGGGTCTTCAAACTTGGACCTTTTATGACTTGTGAAATTCAACTCCCAGAATTCCTCAGCCAGGCATGCTGGCTGAGGAATTCTGGGAGTTGAAGTCCACATCTCATAAAAGGGCCAAGTTTGAAGACCCCTGAGTTAGACTAGTGTTTTTCATCCTTGGCAACTTTAGGACTTCAACTCCCAGAATTCCCTAGCCAGTTTTTTTTTTTTTAGAAATATATTTTAAGTGTATTTTGTGTCAAGTGCAAACCCCATTTGGTATTTTAATAGCTATTTTCGCATCCTTATTTGAGTGCAACATGTTTTACTCCTCCAGTAAACATATATAGATTTAAAAGGTGGATATGCAAATCATCTTAATTTGTGTTATTGTTAAATGACGAACATTTTAAGCCACAGTTCAGTCCATATTTTACTATAGGGAATCTAACAGAAATTATTTTATTCAAATCCATTCTTTATTCAGAAACGAATTTAACCAGTTAATCAGCAGCACACATTTTATACTTCCAAAAACTTCTATATAGAAATTAGTATCATAAACCAATAAGATTTAATTTTATGAACTTTAACATTCTTTGTATATTTCAGGCTGAAATTTTGCAAGATTTCAAAAGTTTGCTGTTTTTCTCCCAAAATCCTTCTATAAAAAAATAATACCAGTTTAAAAGTATTTCAAGAAGCCAGAAAAATATTGTTCATTTCAAGAGAATTATTTCTTGAAATTATTAATAATTCAGTTTCTGAAATCATGTATTTTGAGAGAATTATTTCAAGATGCAAAAGGTTTGCTTTTTAATTTTTGTTTGTTGGTTTTTTGTTAAATCAACTTTTAACATTGACTTAGAAGTATGTGTGATTTTTCAAAAAATTTCCTATTAATGCTTCTCTCTTTGAATAGAGACCTCAATAAGCTTATCTCAATAGCATGAAGTGAAGCAGAAAGTAAATATAGCAAAATATATACTGTTCTTTATACATACAAGTTCCAGCAATTTCCTTTCAAAGTAATGACTTTCATTGTTTTTTTTTAAATTCAGCATCAGTAAAATGCTTTACTGATGTGTAAAGGTATATTTTAGTAGCTATTGATGATTAGAAAACAAATAATATTGATGCATATTTTTAAAATGGTTTTGAAATCCAGCCTCCTTACAGGAATAACAATTAGTCATCCTAGTTAAAACAGAATATTTCAAGATGGTTTGGCTGTTATGCATTGGATTTCAATGACATTTTATAATTTTATCTTCCAAATGAATTTTCTTGGAGAAAAGAAAGCAATGACTAAAAAGCAAATCTCTGCATAACTTTCAATAAATCTTCCAGAGTTTCTAACTCACAGTACTTGAAGTATACCAAGGGGAAATGGAAATAAATATTTGTTTTATTTATTTATGAAAGAAAACTGATGTGGCTGCTCGACTCACTTACGGTGAATATGAAGTATGAAAAATACTTCATTTAGCTCAAAAGTTCTTTGCTTGAAGAGCATGACTTTTAGTTCAAAAGTTCTTTGCTTGAAGAGCATGATTTTTTCTGGGATTAGTTGGTGTTCTAGATTAAAAAGTAAACTAGATTACCATAATGTTGCCTTTTTTTTCCTTCCCTGTTTATGATAAATGCCAATACTTTTAAGAGTCAATGGTTTTACCCATTAACTTCTTCAAGGAACGAATCTGCTTTAATCCAGTTATAGAGAAATTTCAATACTTTTAAGCATCAGTAGTTTTGCCCTTAACTTCATTGAGGAATGAATCTGCTTTAATTGGGTTCTGTTCCCTTTGGCAATCACTTTAGCTGTTTGAATTAAGATAAAGAGATTAATTTCAGTTGGAATTTATTGCTCTTTCATTGTTGTGACTCAACAAGCAGGTCAGTCTAACAACAACAAAAGTTAACTGCGTTTGGCGGTATCTTCATGTTAGAAGCGGCGACTGTGTCTCTTATATTAAGCAAGGAAATTATAGTAAAATTAAAGAACATAGTGAGAAGGATCTTCTCTGACAATTTTCTTGTCTTATTTTGATCTGTTCTATTTTGATATTAAGCTGGGGGGGGGGAAGGCCACCATCTCCCATTTTAGGTCTATTTCAAAAAAAGCAGATGGAAAGAAGTATCAGCAACTCATTTCTAGAATATGATTCTATTTTATTTCAACTCAACAGATCCTAGAATGTAACAATGTAGTGTTCAAATCGACTTCTTTGGATATGTTTGTTTAAAATGTTCACCTCCTAGAGCTCCTCTCCAAGGGAGACAGGCAGCTAAGAAGTATGAAATATAAATAAAAATAAATATTTAAGAGTCTCCATTGCACATATTTAGAATCTGGGGAACTTTCAAGGCTCAGCTATATTTATTTTGAAATTGTGCTGGCTTAGAGATTTTTTTTTTCCCCTTTCTTCTTCTATTTTATCTTCAAATCTTTTGAGTTTCAGCTTACCTGGCTTTGCGGCTGTGAGCTGGCGTTGACAAATTCTCGCACACGTCGTCTATCAGCAGGACAACCACTGGATGAAAGAGAACCAGGCTGAAAAGCAGTGAGTTTGATAACCTTTTAAAAGAAAAAAAAAAGAGGATGTCTCTGAGCAAAGGATGTTGCCCAAAAAGATGCAGAAGAAGTTTTGAAGGATACCTGTCAAGCGAGACAAAATGCTTGTGGCACCAACTTGAGTGAGTCTGTCAATGGGACCTGAAACCAGGTTGGCAGCTATTCCATTCCCTGGAAAATAGAATTGTGTCACTTCTTTTCTCCACTGGTTAAAGAGACAGTGTCCCTGCGTGTCATCACTTTGGATAGTCAGATGGTGACTTTGGGGGGGGGGGAAGGGTTTTCAATGCCATGGCTTTGTTTTCCTTCCAAAACATTGTTCGCCTCCTTGTAAGCTTATGATTCCGAGTAGACTCGATCCAACAATCTACCACTCTCTCCAACTTCCACAAGAAAGGAAAACCTGTAAAGTGTAATGGTTAAGGCAGCAATTCGAAGGGAGGGAGGGAGGGAGGGAGGGAAGAAGGAAAGAAGGAAGAGAGGAAGGAAGGAAGACAGAAAGGAAGAAAGGAAGAGGGAGGGAGAAAGGAAGGAAGGAAGGAGAAGAAAGAGAGGAAGGAAGGGAGAAATGAAAGAAGGAAGGAAGGAACGGAGGTAGGGAGGGAGAGAGAAAGGAAAGAAGGGAGGGAGGGAGGAAGGGAGGGAGAAAGGAAGGAAGGAAAGAAGGAAGGACAGAAGGAAGGAAGGAAGGAAGGGAGGAAGGAAGGAAGGAAGGAAGGAAGGAAGGAAGGGAGGGAGGGAGGGAGGGAGGGAGGGAGGGAGGAAGGAGAAATAAATAAATAAATAAATAAATAAATAAAGAAAGAAAGAAAGAAAGAGGAAGATGGCCAGCAACAAGGTAGATGGACCCAGTTACAGTGGAGATGTGTACACTGTTGGTAGATGTGAAAGAACAGATTAAGGACAGGCCCTCATGGATTAAAATCTATCTATGTAGTTTCTGAGAGTTAAAAATGACGTGAAGACACACCATCCATCTCATGGAAGGGGTTGGGAGCCTCTGTAGGCCGTGAGCAGCTTGGGAGAAATTGCAGCATTTTTAGAATAACAGAATACAGGTAGGCCTCGACTTACACCCATTCGTTTAGTGACCATTTGAAGTTACAAACAGCACTGGGCAAAAAATGACATGACCATTTTCCACGCTTACGACCCCTGCAGCATCCCCATGGTCATGTGATTGAAATTCAGACACTCAGCAATTGACTCATATTCACGGCAGTTGCCGTGTCCCGGGATCACCTTTTGTGGCCTTCATTTATGACTACAATTGGGAGCAGAATTTCCATCGCTAAGTCAGGTGGCTGTTAGTTGAGTTGCACCTCATTTCATGCTTGAGCAGGAGGTAGGAATGAGTCTCTTCCAACTCTGTTACTCTTTGCTCTATAGTACTTACACCAGGGGTCCTCAAACTTGGCCACTTTAAGACTTGTGGACTTCAACTCCCAGAATTCCCCAGCCAGCATGGCTGGCTATGGAATTCTGGGAGTTGAAGTCCACAAGTCTTGAAGTGGCCAAGTTTGAGGACCCCTGCCTGACCCCATTTGCTCTTGTTGGTGGGGTGGGTGCCATCCCAGACCAAACAATATGCTTTGATCAAGCACTTTTAGCTATCTAAAATATATCTTGGAAGCCAAATCTGTCATTGTTAAGATACCCCCTTGAAGGTTTCAGTTATCATTGGCAGCCTGTTTGTCCTCTCCCCGTGGAATGAAGCAGGATAATTACGAATCCTTATAACTGAGAAAGAAAGACAGTTTCTGGACCCTTGTCCTGACTGTTTGATGTCTGGATGAGCAGATCATTTGACTTTCAGCAGGATTCCCAGCTTCCCTGTTGCGCTCCACATTGCTTTGCTAAATTGCAGTATTGTTTGATTTCATCCAGGGAACACAAAGCATTATGAGATGAACAGTGCACTATCTATGATAGCCCTGCTCAAATGAATGAGTGCGGAGCACTTTCTCAGGGCTATAAATTTAACTTTCCTGTTTTTTAATTCAAGAGACAAGGGATGGCTCAGTCAAATGCGAGAGGAAGAACGAAGCAATCAAGGAAGTGATTCCAACTGTTATGCTATTAAGGGAGGAAAGAAAGTGCGCTGGCTCGAAGCAAAATACGCGGTGAAACAGCGAAGAAAAAGTAGCTAAATTTGCTTTTGAACTGCGTAGAGTTAGGCGGTTGTTGGAAATAAAATAGAAGAATTTTTAACTGGGGCGGAAAGTCTTCAGTCTGCATCTGAACTGTTTGCTTTTGTCACTCCCTTTGTCTGTATTCTATTGTGGGAAGTCAGCCCCCCAGAGAAGGAAATATTGAAAGGGCAAGAAAATATATTTCCTCAAAGGATCTTGAAGAGGCAGGAAAGCATGCCCAGTTTTTCTTAATAGCCCCAGGTCTCCCTTCCCCAAGCATAAACCAGCTCTATAGAGACGCAGATGTAAATCCAGGGAGCTAGGAGATTAAGAAGACAAAGACCTAAAATCTAAACTCTAAGAGTCATCAGCCCCAGGGAAGCAGGATATGACCTTTGGACATAATAAGATTAACCCATCACCATCAGAATACCAGAAAGGCACACTCAAACTCAGGTCAAAGTTCATGCCACAGGAACAACTCCACAAACAAAAGGCTCCAGAGGATATAAAAACCGAGTCCCTACAGGTGTTCACTCTTTTCTGCCAGAGCCATCTTTCTGTCTGGCTCTCCTCTCTAATAAACTACAACCTTCTTCCCAAAGCAGTTGCCATGTTTATTCCCAGCTTGGATGAACCACGATGAAGACTTTTCTTCCAACACTATATTCTGTATTCTAAAGTTTCAGCAGTTGAGGTATAATGATTCTGTATTCTAAAGTTTCAACAGTTGAGGTAAACAGAGTTGTACAGATTACAGACTCTGGTGGCTGTGCCCAATTATTTGGTGTTTTTGACTGACAGTTTAGAAAGAATCGAGATTTCCAAACCATTGTTACAATAAATATTGCCTTTGGTTCCTTGACAATGTAACCAAGAAAAACTGCTCACTGCTAACGTTTTATTATCACAAAACACCGCAAAAGTACAATACCTTTTTCATTGAATTGGGGGTTTTCAAATGTGAGTTGGGTAGGGAGGATTGCAGGAAGTAGAGAAATGAGCACAACAAAGAATTGTGGAAAAAAAATCTGGAATAACAGATGAAAACATCAAAATGTGAACCCCGTGTATATATTAACTATTGTTCCTAATAGATTTAACTATTTGTTGGATTAGGTGCCATCAAGTTGATGTCAGCTCTCAATGAACACAAAGATTTTCTCCAGGACAATTTGTCCCCAAGCTGGCTTTTCACCTCTTCCCCATAGAGCAGTGGTGGGATACAGCCAGTTCACACCACTTTGGCAGAACCGGTAGCTAATTTTTTGTTGCCCAAGCCCTGAATGGACTTCCAGAAGTGGCATCCACATAGAGAACCGGTTGTTCACATATTTGAATCCCACCACTGCCACAGAGCACCTGTCTTTACTTCTGGTTATCCTCTCCTTCTCCAGAGAGAGAATGTCTAAGATAATATCCACACAAAATATACAAGTAGTCCTTGATTTATGACCGATTGCTTAGTGAAGTTAAGACTGACCTCCCTAGGGCTACTTAAGCCCGATTTGAACTTCCAACAGCCCCCCCCCTCCCCAAATGGTCACTTGATGGCATTTTGGGCACTTGGCAACTGGTCTGCATTTACAGCTTTTTGCAGGGCCCCATAGTTGTGTAACCAATAGAAGAGAATATATGAAGTGCCTGGCCGATCTGTGCGGTTCTTGGTGCCCTCTGAGCTTGGTTGTTTTCTTGCAGATGTTTTATTACCAAGCTAGGTAATATTATCAGTGCTAGAAGGGAGCGGGATTTGCTCTGAGTTGATATACAAGTGACTTGCTCCTCTCCCTTCTAGCACTGATATTTTTTCATTTCTAAAATGAAATATCTGCCAAAAAACAACAACAACCCAGCTACGTTCAGAAAGTACCAAGGGACCCACCGTCATTTATATATATATATGTTTTCTGAGGTTTTTGCGGGTATTTGTATGTAGGTCTTTGGTTATTCGGGTTTTCTCCCGCGTAAAATTGGAAGTGTCTTGGCGACGTTTTGACGAAGTCCCATTCGTCATCTTCAGGCTGGTGTTTTCAGCTTCGTGCTTTGAGGAGCACGAAGCTGAAAACACCAGCCTGAAGATGACGAATGGGACTTCATCGAAACATCGCCAAGACACTTCCAATTTTAAACGGGAGAAAACCCGAATAACCAAAGACCTACATATGTATATAGTTTTTCTGTCTGAAAAAACTTTCTGTATGTACTCCCTTGACTCGACTGACAAAGAGGGGAGGAGAGCCGGTGGCCTGGTGGTTAATACAGTGGAAACCAGCTTTTACTTCCAGTTTCTGGCAAAAAGCACCCATTCATATAATGGACTCTCATAATTCCTGCATTGTTTGAGGGGCTGCCACAAAGCACCAGAGCACCAGAGGGCAGGACAAGAAACAATGGTTGGAAACTAGTCAAAGAGAGAAGCAACCTGGAATTAAGGAGAAACTTCCTGAAGTGAGGACAATTAGCCAGTGGAACTGCTTGCCTTCAGAAGTTGTGGGTTCTCCATCACTGGAGGTTTTTAAGAAGAGACTGGACAGTCACTTGTCTGAAATAGCATAGGTTTTCCTGTTTGAGCAGGGGGCTGGACTAGAAGACCTCCAAGGTCTCTTCCAGCTCTATTCTGTTCCATTCCATTCCATTCTACTCTACTCTACTCTACTCCGTTCCGTTCCATTCCATTCCATTCCATTCCATTCTATTTCATTCCATTCCATTCCATTCTATTTCATTCCATTCCATTCCATTCTATTATCAGGTGAGAGAGAGAGAAATGCATAGAGGGAATGTGTATGGCTTAAACATTTCCCAGAGAAAAAGTGCAGAAGAAAATCCAGATGCTCAGTTCTTCGAAGTCTCCCTACTTGGTTGTGTAATATTTACAAAATCCCTCTAAACTGCAAGTAACGTAAATGTCCATTGTTTTATTAATCATTGGTGCAGGTGTGTTTAAAAGTGGAATGTAATTTTTTATTTTAAAAAAAGCAGGTAAGAAGAGTTATTTGCATAACCTAAGTATCTAGATCCATATGTTGAAACTAACTGATTAAAGTTGTTAAAATGCTAAACGGAGCTGGAACATAAATGACACATATCATTTAAAAATTTCATGGGATAATATTATGAACAGTACTAAAGGTACACAGGTTATATTCCCTTATCAGCCAAAAGCTGAGACACATCTCTGTAGCAAGAAGAAATGTTTTTTTTTTAAGTGAGCAAGGCACAAAAATATGAGTTATGACTGGCTTTAAGTAGGGAATCCAGGAATAAAGCTAGCCTTTTAAAATCCTAAGGAATTGTAACTGCAATACAATTTAAGAATTTAGAGAATAATTTAGAAATTTAGAATTTGAAGAGCTTAGTGCAGGGGTAGGCAACCTTGGCTCTTTTATGACTCATGGACTTCAACTCCCATGCTGGCTCAGGAATTCTGGGAGTTGAAGTCCATGAGTCATAAAAGAGCCAAGGTTGCCTACCCCTGTGTTTGAAACACTTTATTTTATTTAAAGAAATGTTGCATTTTGGATTTCACACTGACTGAAAGTTTAACTATGTTGTTCCTTTTGTCTTCTCAGTGATTGGAAGGCAAAAATGTCAGAGGATCTGCTTTAGCTTTTATTCTTCTGGATGTAACAAATTGCGACATAAACACTCCTCAGCCCTTTGCCTGTATTTGGATATGCAAAAGATAAAAAGAAACTGAAGAGCTGTGAGGATACTTCTAGGAGGTTAATTTTCATCTTAATCTGAAGGTAAGAGATCTATTTCTTTGTTGACACATTGCAAGGCCTTTACAATACATTAACCTTTTTGTGTTTTGTTATTTTTGACTTCATAAAAAACGGGCCATCATTGAGTTATTTGCACAATGATATCAAGGTGTGTGAGATGTCAATTACTGCCCCAGAGCTCACAGTAGCAGGTAATAGGGTAGATCACAGGTACCAAATTTGATCACATCACATGACGTATCATGATGTATCATGACGTTTTTTGCCTTTGCGGAGCTGGGGTGGGTGTGGCCTGTGCGTGACACATCCAGCCTGCGGGCTGCCAGTTTGACATCCCTGGGGTAGATGAATCCATGGAGGGCTAGGTGGAGTTGCCTACATCTCTAGAGATGAAGATGTAGGAAATGACCAGGCTGAGCCTGAGGGAGGGGTCAAGTGCAGCATCAGTTTGAAGTCCCTTCACTCCCACAAAAGATCTAAGTCCAGCCCTCCTTGAATGCCATTGATTCTTATCTACTGCCAATTTGGCTCGACCAACAGTAGGCCATCAGATTCTTGTTTAGAATATGTATGGAATAAAAAGTAAAAATAAAAAGGATTCCCCTGCCCAGTTGTGTATGACTTTTGGGGAAGTGCTCATCTCCCTTTCTTAGCTGAGGGAGATGGTGTTGTCCAAAGACACTTCCATGATCATGTAGCTAACTTGACAATATGCCAAGGTGCACACAATGCTCTTACCTTCCCACCGAAGTTATGGCTATTTATCTACTCGCATCTGCATGCTTTCAGATTGCTAGGTTGGCAAGAGCTGGGGTGAGTAACAGGAGCTCACCCCATTGTGCAGTCTCAAACCTGGACTGTCAACTTTCCAAATGATAGACTCAGTGCCTTTAACCGCTGAGCCAGTGTCCCCTTCATAGAATAAACTTGTACTCATTTTCGATCTAAACCTGATTCCTGATTGCTTGCGGCTGACATAAGGTGCCTTCTGTAATGGCTTCCACATATAAAAGATGGCTTCAGATGCAAAGAGGGAGACATCCACATACCTCTCTCTGCACTACATCATAGCTTTCATTGGATGGAATATGGGTGGAATCCAACATCTGCTCAGGATCCAAACTAAAACATCTCTACTTCCAATAAAGAGAGGGCTGTTATATTTCTGAGTCAGGTACAGACAGTGAGATGTTCCATGATTTTGTGTAGGAAGATAAGAGAGGAAAAGAACTATTTGTGTCAAATACCCACATAACATTTTTGGAAGTCCTATAATATATCCATTCAATCTGTTACTTACAAGGCTAAACCAACGATTGTCCCTCCATCTCTCCTGGAGAGAATCACAACCGATGTAGAGTGAAATAGTTATCTCATATTCTTTGGAAAGCTTCCTTGTCTTGATGCAACCTAAAAACACATTTCTCCTTTTAGCGGCTGCGTCACATGGCTGACTCATAGTTTTTATCCACTTGGGCTGTGCGATACTTCAAATTCAAGCTCAAAACCGTGTCTTGGAGCTTGTGGGAGTGTGAATGTTGCACCTCCCTGCCACATTACAAGGCAGATGTACTTTTCCTAGGATATTTAGGGAAGGAGAGCCCCACATCTTTCTGGGTCCTTGGCACTGACTTCAAACTCCCTTATAGTATAGGTAGGAGATTTTGTTCTCATATTCAGTCAAAAGTAGCCTTCCTATAACTTAGATGCATTATTTGCTATTTGCGAGACCGCCTACTACCTCATAGTTCCCTACGTCCGGTTAGATCCCACAGGCTGGGCCTCCTTCAGGTCCCGTCGGCCAAGCAGTACCATTTGGCGGGGCTGCGGAGGAGGGCTTTCTCTGTGATGGCGCCCACGTCTTGGAACCAGCTCCCCCCGGAGATTAGGACCGCTCCCACCCTGTTGGTTTTCCGTAAGCTGCTTAAGACCTGGCTTTATAAAATCTGACCCCTGGATGACTGTAATTGTACTGTTCGTTTGTCATGTTTTATGTTGTTTTTATTGTTAGCCGCCCAGAGTCCTACGGGAGTGGGGCGGCTTATAAATTTTAAAAATAAATAAAATAAAATGAATAAATAAATTTCTTTTCCTCCATTCTCGGATGAGAGACACCAAGTCTTGACCTTCTCTAGATTTTTGTAGCCACCATGTGCAAACCTGTCAATCTCTGCTCATTGGATTTTGTTTTTAGTCCTGGATTAGTCTCCTGGATTTTCTCTTCCCTTCTTCATTTCCTCTTAACATGTGTCAAGAACTGGATAAGTCTTTCAAGTGAGAAGTTGGGTCAAAGAACACAATGACACTGTCAGTGGGCAGGATTGGAACATATACAGTTAGTTGATGTAAGGGCATCCATAAGGGGTGAGGGACAGTTATTGTATGTTTGTAAGAAAAAGAGTGGCAGAGCTGGGGGTGGAGTTAAGAGGGATCAGCCTAGAATCCCTACATAGCCACAAGCAGACTAAGTCCAAATTCTCTTGAATTCTATGGACCTTTATCTAACTCCAAGTAGGTGATAACAGTTATTTGAGAAGATTCCTGTGCATAGCATTTTAGAAATAAAACAGTTTCATTGGACCTTCATGTGTAGATCTGGTCTTTCCAACCTGAACTATCCAGCCAGCTGGTGTAAAATAGGATAAGTACACGATTCATATCATTTTTGTATCATGTCACAACTAACTTCATCATGGCTTCTTCTGATGCCGCCTAAAACTGCATTTGCCCACTTTTCATCACCTCACACACTCTAATATTTGTTAGAAAAAATCAAGAATTATAAATTTAATATTTAATTTGCAGACAAGTACTATTCTGAAGATTTTTTCTACCCCTGCAATTATTGAGCAAGCAATTTCCCTATCCTAAGCCTACACATTGAATGTTTGTCCCCTTAAAACAGGGGTAGGCCACCTCGGCTCTTTTATGACTCATGGACGTCAACTCCCAGAATTCCTGAGTCAGCTATGCCGAGGTGGCCTACCCCTGCCTTAACAAATAAGGAAACCCTTCAGATACAGGTAGCCCTTGACTTACGAGCACAACTGAGCCCAAAATTTCTGGTGCTAAGACAGTAGTTAAATGAATTTTGTCGTTTTATGACCTTTCTTGCCACAGTTGTTAAATGAATTACTGCAGTTGTTAAGTTAGGAATACCATCGTTAAGTGAATCTGGCTTCCCCAATGACTTTGCTTGGTAACCAAAAGGTGATCACGTGACCCCCGGGACACTGCAACGGTCATAAATATGAGTCAGTTGCAGAGCCTTTTGATCACGTGACCATGGGATGCTGCAACAGTGGTGTGAAAAATGATCATGTCACTTTTTTCAGTGCCATTGTAACTTCAATGGCCACTAACTAACTAAGTTGAGGATTAACTGTGTATAATCATATCACATCTGGGGAACTGCGTTTCTGCTTCATTTGGTCTCTGAGTCAGGTTTTACTCCTCATTACAAGCAAGTACATGAATTTCAGGGGAGGAAAATTTAAGACTTGCCTTGTTTCCTGGCCAGGTGATCAATAAAGGAATCCCACTCTGTGTAGGCAATTAATAATAAAATAGGAAAAAAAATTCAGAAAGGAAAGTGAAGCCCAGGGAGATTCTACCTCTTCATTTATGAATACAACCTTCTAGAACAGTGGTTCTCAACCTTTTTAATGCCGCAACCCCCAACCAGTCATAAGTCGAGGACTACCCAACCGGTCGTAAGTCAAGGACTTTCTCTGCCTGGGAGCGCTGCACATGAGTGGTGCTGCCCCCTGCGCTGGCCGAGGCATAGCTGGCAAGCGGCAGAGACGGCGCAGGCCGACCACCAGCTGGGCCACCAGCTGGTCCAGCCCAAGGGAGGTAAGGTACCCGCCGGGCCCCACGTGCAGCAGCAACCCTCCCTGCACCCACTGGCCTCCCACCTCCCACCCCTGGCCCTCTTTTACTTACATTTTTAGTAGTTGCTCAGCAGGGAGGGGCGGAAGCTTCCAGACAGCTCGCCTTCACTACAACTTGCAGCACTGTTTGCAGAATGGGACTTTTGGCGGGCTCAGTAGGGCAGAGACAGCCTGGACAATTCCTATTGGCTTTTGAAAGCCAATAGAATTAGACTCTATTCAAGAGAGTCTATTCTATTGGCTTTCAAAAGCCAATAGAATAAAGGGGAGTAGCACAGCTAAGGAAAAGAGAAAAAAAATGGCGGACTGCGTTGTTTGGCAACCCCCGTGAAATGGTCGTTCGACCCCAAATGGGGCCCTGACCCACAGGTTGAGAACCGCTGTTCTAGAAAGCTATTTAAAATGGAACCCTGCAAACATCTGGGATGCTCTTTGACTGTGGAAACACCCTGGATTAGATTCAATGCTCAAATGGCGACTCTTTATGGCAGTGCTTCTCAACCTTGACAACTTTATAAGATGTGTGGACTTCAACTCCCAGAGTTCCCCAACCATGGTTACATCTAGCAAATTGTATTATCCTGTAGCTACCTATGATGGTGTAAGTTGGACCTTAAATAAGCAAGACAGGAAGAAAATTGAGCTGTGGTGCTGGAGAAGGCTCCTGTGTATTCCTTGGAGAGCAGAAGTAACTAACAAGCAAGTACTGGAGAGCATAACACCAGACATGTCACTAGAAGGAAAAAGCACAAAATTGTGTCTTGTTTATTTTGACCAGGTCATGCAAGGGAATTCGCTGGAGAAATTAATTATGTTTGGAAAGTGATAAAAAGGAAACCAGGCCGTCAAACAACAGGGTGGAAGACACCATCAAAGCAGACACCAGCGAGAGCATGGGACAATTCAAAGAAGTAGGGCAAGATTGGAAGATGTGGAGAGACCTGGCCCACAGAATCACCAAGAGTTGGACATGACTCATCATCAAATTGTATATTGAAAGCCTCTGAGACAGTATATCTCAACCTTGGCAATACCTCAACCATAGTTTGGACTTCAACTCCCAAAATTCTCCAGCCATGATTTAGTCTAGTACAGTGGTTCTCAACGTTTGTGTGACGGCGACCCCCGTCACACAAACGTGCCGCGCATGCGCGGCGCCGCCCCGAGGGGGGAAAATGGCGGATCGCCTTGTTTGGCGGCCCCCGTAAAATGGTCGATCGATCCCAAATGGGGTCGCGACCCATAGGTTGAGAACCACTGGTCTAGTAAATTGTATATTGAAACCCTCTAAGGCAATGTTTCTCAGTCCTGGCAACTTCCAGAAGTGTGTCCCAAAGCAGCTTTCTTTCAGAAGGCAACTGGAGTTTCTTGTTTTGCTTGAAGATATTTCACTTCTCATCCAAGAAGCTTCCTGACTGAATGGTGGAGAATGGAAGGATTTATATGACAACCATGACTGGATGACTGAGAATCTGCACAGACATCCTAGATGTCTGGGTTTCAACTCTCCGGATTCCCCAATTCTGAGAGCTGAAGTCCACATATATCGAAGTTGTTGAGGTTGAGAAACACTACTTTTGGAATAAGAGAAGGAGTATGTAGATGTCATTCTATAAGCAGCTGAGAGATAACCAAACTATGTCTTAGTGACCCATCTCTCATCATAATTCAGGAAGAGATTAATGTTGTTAAGTGTTACAGATATGACGACCATCGTAAAGGGACAAGCGTGACGTGGCAGAAGTGCTGTGTGAAGGCCAACAAACATCAGTTAAAATGTTGACTTGCCTAACTCAAGGAAACTTAAAGAGACCAGAAATGACGGTTTGGCTATTTGGCCCATGGACTTTGACCCGTGGACATCATGGAGATGACGAGTGAAGACAATATTCAAAGCAGATTAAGCATGCCTAAGCTCTACAGAAATCATCAACATGTCAAGTTGTGCAGAAAAACACTTCAATTCTCTGGATAGTGGAATGTGTTATATTCTCTGGTTTCTTACATAGGTGCAGGAGCAAAGAGGTCAAATGAACAGAAATAATCAGCCTAGTGTGACGACATGGGAGAGAACAAAATGGACGGCCAAGAGGGAAACAGCTAAAATTGCAAAGAGGAATGATGCAAATGCATGCACACCTCGCCAAGGGCATCATTCTAGAAATGAGGGTTGTTTTGCTCACAAAGTGGCAGCCTGTAATCTTTCCACCTTTGTGGTGTCTTTAGCCCTGGCATCAATCTGACCCTTGACTTATCGAGCAACAGCGTTGTTGTTCTTATTATTTTTTCATGGTTTTAATCATGGAGGAAATTCCCTGTATCCTTAGAGCATAAAGTCATGCAAACAAGAAAAAAAGAAGAAGAAAAAAAAAACCCTGCGCAAATCTTTTGCCACTTCGTTTTGGCAGCCGCGGGAGAACTGCATCACCCAACTGTGTGAAATGGTGGAGAAAGAAGTCCACGAACACCCAGCATGCAGAAACAACCATCGTGGTGGAGGGGATGGGCGTGGTGGGTTGCTTTTTTTTTTTTTTTGCTTTTGAGGGAGGAAGCTTTGGGCATGTACCATAAGATATACAAAGTTTTGAAGTGTACAGGACAAGAAAGAGCCACCCTCCCGCGTCCCACCCCCGTAGAGAAGATTAAATTGGCTTGCTTGAAGGAGTCCATATTGCCTCGGAAATCCCATCCCCCGTGGAGGACAGAGGCATAGACCCACTGGGGGTGAAAGGGTCAGTATCCGTGTCTGTTTCCCCCTCAGCCAAATAGCGTTTTTCTTTCATCCAACTGTTTCCGCCGTTTGGCCCGAACAGGAAATCATCTTTATCTTGAGAGATGCTAAACCCGCTCGGGGAACGTTCGAGTTCCTCGTGATTGACCGAGAGCAGAGATAAGGGGGTGTCGCTGTCCCTTGTCGTGCTTGGCCTCTGTCTTGGGGAGATTCTGTCCGAATGGGAGTTCCAGAGCTCTCTTGGCGGGGACTGGAAAGAAACCTGAGGGTCCATGAAAGTCAGTATTGGCAGGACTGTGGGCCTTTCTGAGTAGGCCGTGGAGAAGGGCAGGGATGGCCATCGGCCTGAGTTCTGCTCACCGAGGGGCAGTGAAAAGGGGTGGTGACCACAGTCCTGGCTGGAGAACCCAAAAGGAGGGACTTTGTTTATGGGGACGTGATGGAAGCTGGGAGACAGCTCATGAATGGAAGGCTTGGCGTATTTGTAGATGATGGATTTGAGTTCAGAGAACCGGTTATCCTCAGCCGGGGATGGGGTGTCTTTCAAAGGACAGGTGTCGGTGACCTGGACCTGCAGCTGCCCCATATGCTGCTTGTGCATGTCCACTAAAAAGTCCAGTTTCTTCCCCATGTCGTGGACCTGAAAGACAACAGCCATCAGAAGTCAGCTGGAATAAATACAACAACAATAACAACAATAATAATAAAGTTGGAAGGGACCTTGGAGGTCATTTAGTCCAACCCCCTGCTCAGGCAGGAAACCCTACACCATTTCGGAAAAATGGCTGTCCTGTCTCTTCTTAAAAACTTTCAGTGTTGGAGCATTTACTGCTTCTGGAGGCAGGTTGTTCCACGGGTTAATTGTTCTAACTGTCAGGAAGTTTCTCCTTAGTTCTAGGTTGCTTCTCTCCTTGATTAGTTTCCATCCGTTGCTTCTTGTCCTGCCTTCAGGCGCCTTGGAAAATAGCTTGACTCCCTCTTCTTTGTGGCAGCCCCTGAGATATTGGAACACGGCTATCGTGTCCCCCCTCGTCCTTCTCTTCATTAAACTAGACATACCCAATTCCAGCAGCCGTTCCTTATATGCTTTAGCCTCCAGTCCCCTGATCCTCTTTGTTGCTCTTCTCTGTACTCTTTCTAGAGTCTCAACATCTTTTTTACATCGTGGTGACCAAAACTGGATGCAGTATTCCAAGTGTGGCCTTACCAAGGCATCGTAAAGTGATTCATTTAGTGACCGTTCAAAGTGAAAAATGTGACTTTTGCCCCTTTTTTTCACAGTTATGACCTTTCCAGCCTCCCCATGATCAAGTGATCAAAATTCAGATGCTTGGCAACTGGTACATATTTATGACCGTTGCTGTCTCCCAGAGTCACGTGACTCTCTTTTGCGACCTTCTGACCAGCAAAGTCAATGGGGAAGCCGGATTCACTTTACAACCAGGTTACTCACTTAACCAACTGCAGCGATTCACTTAACAAGTGGGCCAAGAAAGGTTGTAAAATGGGGCAAAGCTCACTTAACAATTGTCTCGCTTAATGACAGAAATTTTGGGCTCAATGGTGGTCGTTAGGGGAGGACTACCTGCAGTTGGCTTTCCAAACTAAGAGCAAGCTCTACTCAAGTGAAAATTGACCTCTCTCAAGGACATCCCCAAGGTCAAAGCTCAGCACAACCTTTCAGATTTGTCGTAAAGGAGAAAAAGATGGACACAAGCTGCCGGGCGTTCCGTACCTGTCTTTCAACTCTGACGAATTTGCCCATCATGCTTTGGTCTTCAGGATCATCTGCAGATGCTTTGCTTATGAATGGCTCATTCCTAAAATAGAAGAAGGTTCAATTTTACACAGAGGCAAAAAAACATAAGAAATGTTTCCGACAAAAATTTCTAGTTCACAATCTATTTGCTCCAACACTGGAAGTTTTTAAGAAGAGACTGGACAGCCATTTGTCCAAAATGGTGTAGGGTTTCCTGCCTGAGCAGGGGGTTAGACTAGAAGACCTCCAGGCTCCCTTCCAACTTGTATTATTATTATTATTATTATTATTATTGATCATCGCACAGTCAGCCAGATGTTCAGACTGGATTTGGCATTTTGTCTACCTATCGAGTCCTTACCCAGGACCTGGGATAGACAGATGTGGGTGTTTGATGGTATTACAGGTATCGTTGCAGGATGGAAGCAGTTCCTAGTAAGGCCGCCTTTTGCAATTGACTAATAGCAAATTTGTCAATGTCAATGGTGTTCAAGTGGTGCTCCAGTTGTTTTGGGACTGCACCCAAGGCTTGTTGATGAAGAAGCAACAGCCTTGGATGAAGAGTTGACGAGGTACTTTGGATTTCCAGATATAAGATGTAAGAATGTACATTTTTCAGTTCTAACTGCCTTAAGTATATCTATGGTCCACTTTACATTGTCACTTAAGGGAAACAAGGGGGAAAAATGATGGTGCCAGGGAGAAAATGACGTAAATGTGGCTTTCGCTGAGTGGCCCCCCCCCCCAAAAAAAATGTCACCTTGGAGACTGCTGAGAAGGGTAAGAGAATGTGCCTCCTTTCTGTGATTTTCTGTGTCTGGGAGTAGATGGAGGCCCAGGTGCAAAAACCATATCTATTCTGAAAAGAGATAAAGACAGAACATAAGGACTCCTGGATCTAGTCGCATCACATGCTGTATAACTTGGCAACTTTAAGGCTTGTGGACTTCAACTTCCAGAATTCCCCAGCCAGCACTGGGACTACCTCTGATAGGCATGTTGGTTAAAATATAAGAGAATAGTCCAAACCCCTGCACAATCTTAGAGTATATGGAGGCACCAATTTAAAGAAAGATTTTCTTTACAATGATGTAAAGTAGGAAATTGCCATTAGCAAAAATATTCCTTCCTTCCTTCCTTCCTTCCTTCCTTCCTTCCTTCCTTCCTTCCTTCCTTCCTTCCTGTCTGCCTGCCTGCCTGCCTACCTGCCTACCTACCTACCTACCTACCTATCTTCTTCTTCTTCTTCTTCTCTCTCTCTCTCTCTTTCTCTCTCTCTCTCTCCCTCCCTAACTACCTACTTACCTACCTATCTGGCTATCTATCTGTCTATCTATCTATCTATCTATCTAGCTAGCTAGCTAGCTAGCTAGCTATCTAGCTATCTAGCTATCTTCTCTGCCTTGACTTCACTGGGTGGCCTTGACAAGTTAATAGAGAGATAACGCAACACATAATAATCTATTAAGTGGCTAAATCAGTGGATTTTATAGGATCCTGTCTCCATGGAACTCTTAACTCAGTTTCTGCACTAACTTATGTCTGGGTCTGCCTAACACACTGAATGATAAGCTAAGCAACCAACTTAGATGTACAGAAAATATTAAGCTACACACACAAATACACAAAACCCACATAGAATAAAACTAAGACTTCTAATTTGTTTGATTGAATATGTTATGTGAACACAAAACATAACCTAGCCCAGGGTAGGCAACCTTGACTCTTTTATGACTCGTGGACTTCAACTCCCAGAATTCCTGAGCCAGCATAGTCCACGAGTCATAAAAGAGCCAAGGTTGCCTACCCCTGACCTAGCCTGAGATAAAAATTCAGACTCTTGATGGAGTCTGTTGCACAGCCATCAATTTCTTACAAAGTGACACCCTTTGAGTAGGGGTGCTTGCAACGACAATGCCATCAACTGACCTAGGCCAAACTCTCAGTCAATAGAGCCTCCATGTCCAGTCTTGCGAATGGGACCAGGCCCCCTTACCTTGCTTGAAGGTATTTGATTCTGGAAAGCATGTCGAGATGTCCAGCTGAATATTGCTCTATCACATCCTTTACATCGTAAGGCCTCAAAGTTTCCTTGAATCTTTTCTTATACAGGCGGAACTGTAGAATCCTAGTGCAAGAAGCAGCGGCAGAAAAAGTGGTTCCGAGTGAGTTATTCAGATACAATCAATCAGAAGAGAGCTGGAAGGGACCTTGGAGGTCTTCTAGTCCAACCCACTGCTCATGCAGGAGACCCTATACCAGTGATGGCGAACCTTTTAGAGACCAAGTGCCCAAAAACTGGCCCCGCCCCTGCCCCGCCCCCATCCTGCCCCACCCTGCCTGCCCGCAGGGCCATTCACTGCCTCCAGGGCCCGCCACAGATCACCCAGGCAACCCAGCAGCACTATGGTGGCCACACCCTCTGCCTGCACCCTACAGCATCAACTGCATGATGGGGCATGAGGGCAGAGTCTTGTCTACGCTGCCTGGCTGCCATGTCCTTGGCTGCGCTGCTCCCTGTGGGCCACGCTCGGATTCGCTGAACAACGGCGTGATTCACTGAGCCACTGTGGTGATTCATTTCATAGCAAAAAAGATTGCAAAATTGGACTCGACTCGCTCAGCAATTGCCCTGCTTAAAAATGGAAATTTGGTCCCAATTTATAGTCGTCACTTGAGGACTATTGTACAATTTTGAAAGGGGGCTTTCAGTCAACTATTATAATATGATACATAATATATACTGCTCAAAAAAAATAAAGCGAACACAAACGTATAGGATCCTATACGTTTGTGTTCCCTTTATTTTTTTGAGCAGTATATATTATATGATCAACTGGGCAAGAGCTGTTTAATTTGTACATATTTTAACCTTGCATTTTAGATTTTAAATGTGTCACAAAAAATGTCAACTGTTATAACATCCGCTGTTAGTTTATTAAAAACACCCAAAACATACAACATAACCATAAAAACTATGTGAAATAATAAAAATCAGCTATTTGCAACAGTAACCACTGATGCAAAATACTTATCAAATATTAAGACTTCTGTCCAAGGATAAATTAATAATAGTAAAAACAGCAGCCTTACTAATATTAAATGAAACTGTAATTAATAGTCAATAAGAAAGGGAATTTAAAAAAACCAAACAAAGATTTCCCTTTAATAGTTAGACGGTTAGTAACAATTCAATCAAGCAATAAGACTATGGGAATCTAGCTAAAATCTTATTACAATTAATTCACATTGTTGTTTTGACTGGGAAGATCCAACTGATCAGAAATGTTTATTAACTATCAAATTGATTTAAAAGCATCTAATTTGATGCATGGAATACATCTGATTCAAACACATGGGTTTCATTAAATCCTCTTCAAGTCAAACCATCAAAACAAGCTTCATGTAGCCTTCTTAAGTAATTTGTTACAAGCCACCAAGAATACATGGGAGTTAATTTAATGGACTATAACAAAGACATCAAATCCAGCCCAGGCCTTGATTAGTTCCATTTATAATGGATTGCAGTTAAAAATTCTTCCAAATTAGCTACTCTTAGCAGGAAGCAAGTAAGGAGGACATCAGCAGAAACAGTCACTTTAGCCATTTAAAGTAAAATCTAATTATTTAAAGCAATTAGGTTAGTAGTTAATGTCACAAAACCAGTCAATGGCATTTTGAACTTAAATTGGTTCAAGCTTCAATTGCCCCCAAACAGATGTTTCTAGTTTGAAACATACTTCTAACCTCGCTGGAAGCATCTGAGCTGTATTCCAAGGGTAGTTGTGTTATAATGTAAGCAAGGTTTGGAACGTGACATAACCTATTTTAAGATCAAATTATTATTATTGTGGTTCACTGCACAGTCAGCCAAATGTTTAGACTAGATTTGGCATTTTTGTCCACCTATCAAGTCTTTCCTAAGGACCTGGGATAGGCAGAAGTTGACATTTGAAGGATGTAAGCTATTCCAAGTAAAGCTGCCTTTTGCAATTGACTAATGGCAAATTGGTCAATGCCGATGGTGTTCAAGTAGTGCTCCTATTACTATTAGTACTACCTTTGCTTTCTTTTGCTATAGTCATTCTACTTCTTCTGGGAGATCATTTCGTATATTTGTGACTTTTTCTTCCAACATTCCTGCAGCTGCTGGCCCTGATTGCTCAACCAACAGGTGTTGAGTCCTCTAGCTAATTTGTCACCAGAGGTCCAGGAATTCCTGCAACTAATGTAGTCTTTGTTGACCTGGGTCATGACCAATCTAATATGGATTTCTTTAAATTATGTCTCAATACATTTTTATGGGAGAGACACTCTTTGTCTGGCTCCTCTGATGAGACCTGTTCAGTATGATTGAACCTCTGGCATAAACCTCATCTTCCTCCAAGTTCACAAGCCCCACAACCACATGAAGACATGTGGGTGGATTATTATGTATTGATTTTTATGCTACCAATCTCACTGTCCAGTGTCTCTGGACTCAAACGCACTTTTGCCCACTAAAAATTAAAAAAAGGTTGAGTTGAACTCTAGAGCAGGGGTTCCCCAACCCCTGGTCCATGGACCAGTACCAGGCCACGGCATGCCAGCAACCAGGCCGCACACACAAGCAAAGCCCCATCCACGAGATGCAGGCAGCACACAAAACCATGCACCCTCCGGTCTGTGGAAAAACCTCTCTCCACGGAACCGGTCCCTGGTGCCCAAAAAGTTGCGGACCTCTGCTCTAGAGGATGGTGGTCACCTCTTTTCCTAGCCAAGGGAGCCAGCATCATGCAAAGACACTTCCATGCTCATGTGGCCAGCATGACTATACACCAAAGCACACAGAACTCTGCTACTTTCCCACCGAAGTGGTACCTATTTATTTACTCGCATTTGCATGCTAGTGTTGTGATTCTGTGCCAGCCTGTGATCTTGGTAGTTGAGTCTGGGGATTCAGAGGAGGAAGAGGAGGAGGATCCTGGAGAGCCACCAGAGTCGGAGGGAGGCTCTGATGAGCTGCAGGACTTACAAACTAATGAAGAGGCTGGTCCGTCCACTCGTGATCAAGCTGAGAGCCAGCTGTGCTGGGAAGCTGAGTCAGACTCGGAGGAAGCACAGCTGGAAGACCTCAGAGACGCTTGTAAACATAGGCAGGTCACACGAGTAGGATAGAGGGAGTCAATGGGACAATTCCAGGGAAAGAGGAGAAAGCAGTGAGAAGCCACGCCTTGGGGGCTGCGTAACAAAAAGCGAATGTGTGGGCAGGGCTGGTTGCTGGAAGCAACCGTTTGCAAAGAATTTCTGTGTCAAGAGATCATGGTCTGTTTATTTTGCTTGTGAGTTATTTCCTGTTTGACTTGTGCTCCGTTTTACTTTTGGAAAAAGTGTTGGAAAAGTGTTCTGTTGCTTTTGTTTTTTCTGGGACAATTATCAGGTCTGTAACTCAAATAAAAAGGGTTTATTTTCCAGACTACTGTTAAAAGAGGGGTTGTCTTTGTGTAGTAACAAGGACGTGCATAGGCTGGGATAGAACAGTTAGGTGGGCAGGACCTGGAGCAAGTAACGGGAGCTCACCCTGTCATGCGGTGCTTAGGTCTCCAATCACCAACCTTCCAGTTGACAAGCCCAGGTCTTAACCACTAGGCCAATGCACCCCCACTTGCCCACTACTTACCCCAAAATATTTCTTCATGTGTATGACCCTCAATAAAGAAGGAATCAAATGTTGCTGGATTTACAGTTGTATACTCTATATCAACTTTTGCAACTTATCACTCTCACCCCAACTAGGGGGAAGATGAGAACTGAAGACCAACACATCTGGAAAGCTAGAGACTGGCAAAGGTCTCTTGATTGCAACTGCTTGAAAGATACGTGATTTACTTTGCTGAACTGATTTTTTTTTCCTTCAAAATTGTAAACTGATTTTTAAACACACACATAGACATGCAGTATTGTTAAGCAGCCCAACGTTTACCTAACAGCTCGGATGACCATCTTCAGCGTGGGGATAAGGTCTTCCATAAGGAGCTCATTGCTGTATCCCCTGTCTTCCGCCAGGGGGTCCCCAGTTCCAGCATCTAAAGTAAGGACCAGATGGATACAGATAGATGATCCAGATGCAGAAGAGAATAGAACAATGTGAATTAGCTCATACAATATCCAAACATCTTATTCAGGCTGGGATCATTTGAAATCATGGATCCTGAACATTCTCCATTTCATAGACCCAGTAGTAAAAAAAAAAATAATTTGTTAGATTTAATGTACCAAACTATTCTGGGCACCCACCATTTGATCTACAGGGAAAAGAAGCTAGTATTCTGTCAAATCCTGTCCTCCAATTTCCTGAAAAAAAATCGTCCTGAGTTTTTTCCACCTTATTGCCACGTTGCTTGAAAATTTCTTTTGCTGGTGTTTTGGAACTATTTTATTGCTGAAAAAAAAGCAGAGGGTACTCTTCTTGGCCCTGTACACTTTTCCAATATTTCTGTATGCATTCTTCAACAAAGATGCTTTACAATAGGCAGGAGCACATTATCAACCCCCCCACACCTATGGATAATTAAAGCAGCCACCACATTTTTTCAGAATGATTTTGTTGTTGTTAGTTATGAAGTCGTGTCCGATCCCTCGCGACCCCATGGACAATGTTCCTCCAGGCTTTCCTGTCCTCTACCATCTTCTGGAGTCCATTTAAGCTCATGCCTACTGCTTCAGTGACTCCATCCAGCCACCTCATTCTCTGTCGTCCCCTTCTTCTATTGCAGTGGTTCTCAACCTTTTTAATGCCGCGACCCCCAACCGGTCATAAGTCAAGGACTACTCAACTGGTGCAGCACCGTTTGCAGAATGGGACTTTTGGCGGGCTCAGCAGGGCAGAGACAGCCTGGGCAATTCCTATTGGCTTTTGAAATCCAATAGAATTAGACTCTATTCAAGAGAGTCTATTCTATTGGCTTTCAAAAGCCAATAGAATAAAAGGGAGTAGCACAGCTAAGGAAAAGGGGGGAAAAATGGCAGACTGCGTTGTTTGGCGACCCCGTGAAATGGTCGTTCGACCCCAAATGGGGTCGCGACCCACAGGTTGAGAACCACTGCTCTATTGCCCTCCATCTTTCCTGGCATTAGGCCCTTCTCTAGTGAGTCCTTCCTTCTCATTAGGTGGCCAAAGTGCTTGAGTTTCAACTTCAGGATTTGGCCTTCTAAAGAGCAGTCAGGGTTGATCTCCTCTAGGACTGACCGGTTTGATCGCCTTGCAGTCCAGGGGACTTGCAGGAGTCTTCTCCAGCACCATAGTTCAAAGGCCTCAATTCTTTGGCACTCAGCCTTTCTTATGGTCCAACTTTCACAGCCATACATTGCAACTGGGAAAACCATGGCCTGGACTATACGCACGTTTGTTGGCAGGGTGATGTCTCTGCCTTTTAGTATGCTGTCTAGATTTGCCATAGCTTTCCTCCCCAGGAGCAAGCGTCTTTTAATTTCTTATAAGGTGCCCTGAACTGTCTCTTTTCCTTCTCTTCTGTGGTTATGTAGAGACAGCCAGGAACAGGTTGCAGTTCAACTACGTGAACCTGGAAAATGATGCTCATGAGGTAAAGAGTGATTTGTTCACTTTGTGCATTTGTACTTAAGAGCTTTGCACTCTTGAGACTCAAGTTTCTCATTCTCAACCAATCTTCCAGTTCAAAGCACTTATCTTTTGAGAAACTAAGGGGACTGCAGACTAGAAGAAGAGATCCACACACTTACACACTCCTCCAGCACCTGGTAGTAAAGAAAGTGCAAGAGTTCTTCAACTCACTAATGAGAACTTTGAATGAATTTTTTTTGGCTGATTTGGAAACAATATTCATAAGCATTATCAAGCCCACTTATTCTTTATATGCATATAAAGTGGCATTATTGAGTACAGGAAGTCCTCAACTTCCAATCAGTTGCCTGATGACCGTTTGAAGACACGAGCTACCTGCAAAAGGGGCCTTAGGACTCAGATCTGATCTTCCAATGGTCATCCTCTCCCTGCAGCAAACCCACTTCAGGTGTTCAGGAACATGGCCACGTTTACAGCTATTTGCAGTATGCCGCAGTAACATGTTTTACTGATCTCTTAGGAATAGGTTCTATCAGTTATTCAGCAGTAGGAAACAAGATTAGATCAACTGTTCATTCAGCATTCAACTCTCTTATTTCTTTTTACCTTACATTCTGCAAGGCTGGATAACATTTCTGCTTATTTAACAAGCAGAGATAGTAATTGTTTTAAGTCAATATATAACAGAGCTAGGATCTGAACCCAAGCCAGATCTGGCACTATCTAGCAGGCCACACAGATTCCCTGCACTTGCTTAATTAAAGATAAACAATTCCTTACAGGAGAAATGTGTACAGTAGAGGGGTATATGGAAATAACACTAAATTTTCATATGAATATCTATTGTACATTTGGAGATATGGAAATGGGCTAATCCAAGGCAGAGATTGCTGTGAATTACAGCACTAAAATGGAGACAATCTGCTGGTGCAGTTAAAGGGTGATGAATTTATACAAGTTTTACTCCTGCACAGGCAAAATCCTACACATCATTACAGTTAATATGTCAAATTTTGGAGGGGGGAGGGGTGGAAACTTCTTTTCTGCTATTTTTTTTTCCAAATCACCCAGTAAATTTTGACATAAAAGGGGAAACCATATGCAAACGAAGTCAACAATGGATGCTAGGTTTAAAAAAGCACTGAATTAAACTTTGCTTTCATTTTTTTTTAATCAGTCAGAGCTGAGGTTGCTTAGCGTAAGCATCGTGCTGAACAGATCGGAAACAAGGCCAGAGAGAAAGACATGGTAAAAAAAAATGAGGCAGGCTGCACAGGCGCTTTTTTAGGAGGCAACTGGACTTTCTTGTTTTTCTTTGAAGACATCTCACTTCTCATCCAAGGAACTTCTTCAGCTCTGACCTGGCCATCCAGTCAGAGCTGAAGAAGCTTGTTGGATGAGAAGCGAAACGTCTTCGAAGAAAAACAAGAAAGTCCAGTTGCCTCCTAAAAAAAGCAACTTTGGGACAGTCATGACCTGGATGACGGAGAATCTGCACAGACATGTTTTACGATGGTTTTGCCAGACATGTTTTACGATGGTTTTGAACTTATTTTTGGCTTTCAGCAAAACCGTCCCCATAGTGAATCTTTGGCTTGCTTAACCCACCATGGCATTTGCTTCATGATGGCTCCCCCCCCCAAAAAAATGCCTGTTATACAACTGCTACAACTTATAACCATAATGGAGAGGCTCTATTAGGATCATAATTAGAGGCTTACTGATATATGTCTTAAGGCTAGATGTTGAAATGTATTCTTTTCTATCTTCTCTGGAACTGTGAGATGGTTTAGAATCCCAAAAGTGGAAGCACAGTGGTCCATCTAAGTAAGGCGTGGAGAACAAATACCGCTCCAGGCATTGCTGAACTACAAAGCCCAGCATCCATTACCTTGAATCACACTGGTTGGAGTCAGCAGCATGTGAGGGACAAGAGACGGTAAGCTTCTTACATGATTTATTGTAACCAACCATTCAGGGATGAAGACTCAAAGCCCAAGCATCCACAATAGATGGGATTTCCAAGTTCTACTTGAAAACATTGGAATGGGAACAAGCCTTCGCTGTCAAAGTGGTCTTCCTATCAAGAGGTTTGTTGCCATGTTTAATCAAAATAGGTACGTTTTTTAATTAAGGCCATTAGGCTTGGTCCTGTCTTCTAAAGCAGTACAGAATGTTGCTATTCATTTTGGAAATGGCTTTTAATAATAATAATAATAATAATAATAGTAATAGTAGTAGTAGTAGTAGTAATAGTAGTAGTAATAGTAATAATAATAATAAAGTTGGAAGGGACCTTGGAGGTCATCTAGTCCAACCCCCTGCTCAGGCAGGAAACCTCATACCATTTCGGACAAATGGCTGTCCAGTCTCTTCTTAAAAACTTCCAGTGTTGGAGCATTCACAGCTTCTGGAGGCAGGTTGTTCCACTGGTTAATTGTTCTAACTGTCAGGAAGTTTCTCCTTAGTTCTAGGTTGCTTTTCTCCTTGATTAGTTTCTATCTGTTCTTCTTGTCCTGCCTTCAGGCACTTTGGAGAATAGCTTGACTCCCTCTTCTGTGTGGCAGCCCCTCAAATATTGGAACACTGCTATCATGTCCCCCCTCGTCCTTCTCTTCATTAAACTAGACATAATAATGGCCTGGTTCCTCATTCACCCCTCCCCCATGACATTTCCACTGCAGCGCTGTAATATCTAAAAAAGATAATGCACCACAGTCCGCCATGTTCTTTAAACATTATTTTCCTTTAAATCGGATATAAAAGTCATGCCGGGATTTAAACCTGAAGAGAACGCTTGAATCCTGAATGTAGGTCTCCAATTTCATTCCAAAACATCAACGTTCAATAGAATGATTCTGTTACTAATAAGTCAGCCAAATGAGTACAGCTATGGTGTTCTGAAAAACCCTCTTCAGGTTTAAAAGTGTGGGTCTTAAAGTCCTAGTTTTAAAAACTAAGAATCAACATATTCGAGTCAAGGTAGTGCTTGGCTTACCACTATTCATTTAGCGGCCATTCAAAATTACAATGGCGCTCAAAAAACTAGTCCTCACACTTATGACCGTTGCAACATCCCCATGGACACATGATCAAAATTCAAGCACTTGCAACCAGCACCTATTTATGACACCTGCAGTGCCCCAGGGTCACATGATCGCCATTTGCCAGGCTTCCCAGCCAATGTCTGACCAGCAAAGTCACTGGGGGATGCAGGGTTCCCTTAAGGACTGCATGATTCATTTAACAGCTGCTGTGGTTCACTTAACAACCATGGCAGAAAAGATCACAAAAGAGACAGGGCTCACCTAACAACCGCTTTTTTAGCAATGGAAGTTCTGCTTGCAAATGTGGTTGTAAGTCAAAGACCACCTATATTAGGGAAAGAGTGCAGTGGTCCGTTTCAACTCAGCTCAGAAGGAAAGCCAGCAAAATAAATGAAGCAGACTGACTATGTAGGAATTCTAGGCTGAGCTCTCTTTTGACTCCGCCCCCAGGTTTTGCCACTCCTGCTCCCACAACTACATTCTAAGAAAGTTCACATACAAACACACACACACACACACAGAGGGAGAGGGAGGGAGGGAGGGAGAGAGAGAGAGAGAGAGAGAGAGGGAGAGAGAGGGAGAGGGAGAGAGAGAGAATATGTTTACCTTCTGAGCTTTGCCAGAATGCATAAGCTTTCATTCGGAAGGCAGTACGGAATCGGTCTCGGTTAATCAAGACAATGTTCTTAGACTCTTTGGAAGGACTTTCTTCAATTGCATCTACATTCAGAGGAGTAAACAGCTTTCCTTTAGGATTGCTACCACGAACACGATCCAAGAGACCCAGCTTTTGGCTAAAAAAAAGATAAGGAAAAGGATCAACGTTTTTTTTTTTTTCCACCCCTCATTTTAAATCTAGTTTGTCCTTCCTGGTGTACATTAGGTGAGTAACAACAGCCAGTGAATTACAGCCTTCTTCTTCGCTCCCTTAAATTTTGCCACTGAAATGATGGGAAAAAATGGCTCGGTATGTGTGTGTGTATGTGTGCGCCCACACACACACACACACACACACACAAACCTGTTTTTCTGTTCTTTTTTCTTTAAAAGTGAGGGATTTTAAATAGAGCCAATCATCAGGAGACTGTGAGTTCTAGTTCTGAATTAGGAATGAAAATCGGCTGGGTGACTTTGAGTCAATCACAAAGAGACTGTGAATTCTAATCCTGCCTTAGGAATGAAAATTGGCTGGGTGACTTTGAACCAATCACCAGGAGAGTGTGAGTTCTAGTTCTGCCTTAGGCGTGAAAGCCAGCTGCGTGACTTTGGGTTAGTCACTCTCTGGCAGGCCAACTCACTTCACAGAGATGTTATGGGAAATATAGGAGGAGGAAGGAGAATTAGGTATGATTGCCACCTTGCCTTGATGGTGGCCCAAGGTCACCCAGCCAGCTTTCATGCCTAAGGTGGGACTAGAATTCACAGTCTCTTGGTGATTGGCCGAAAATCACACAACTAGTTTTCATGCCTAAGGTGGGACTAGAATTCACCGTCTTCTGGTTCCTAGGCCAGCACTTTAACCACTAGACCAGGGGTAGGCAACCTTGGCTCTTTTATGACTCGTGGACTTCAACTCCCAGAATTCCTGAGCCAACATGGCTCAGCTTGGAAACCTCTCCCTTTCCCCTCAGTGTGGCTGGTTCAGGAATTCTGGGAGTTGAAGTCCACGAGTCATAAAAGGGGCAAGTTTGAAGACTCCTGCTCTTAATCTTCATCCTAGGATAGGGATAGGCAACCTTGGCTCTTTTATGACTCGTGGACTTCAACTCCCAGAATTCCTGAGCCAGCATGGCTCAGCTTGGAAACCTCTCCCTTTCCCCTCAGCTTGGCTGGCTCAGAAATTCTGGGAGTTGAAGTCCATGAGTCATAAAAGGGGCAAGTTTGAAGACCCCTGCTCTTAATCTTCATCCTAGGATAGGGGTAGGCAACCTTGGCTCTTTTATGACTCGTGGACTTCAACTCCCAGAATTCCTGAGCCAGCATGGCTCAGCTTGGAAACCTCTCCCTTTCCCCTCAGTGTGGCTGGTTCAGGAATCCTAGGAGTTGAAGTCCACGAGTCATAAAAGAGCCAAGTTTCCTATCATCTAGTCCAGGGTAGGCAACCTTGCCTCTTTTATGACTCGTGGACTTTAACTCCCAGAATTCCTGAGCCATCCACTATGAGGGGAAAGGGAGAGGTTTCCAAGCTGAGCCATGCTTGCTCAGGAATTCTGGGAGTTGAAGTCCACGAGTCATAAAAGAGCCATGGTTGCCTACCCCTGGCCTAGGCCTAGGCTGCTTTATGACTCGTGGACTTCAACTCCCAGAATTCCTGAGCCAGCATGGCTCAGCATGGAAACCTCTCCCCTTCCCCTCAGCATGGCTAGCTCAGGAATTCTGGGAGTTGAAGTCCTAAAAGAGCCAAGGTTGCCTACCCCTGCACTAGACCAAACTGGCTCTCTTATACTTCTTTCTTGCCAGATTTTAGTTTAGGCTTTTTCTTTTTCAAAATAAGAATGTGGAATGTAAAAGGTGTAGGTTACTTCTGAGACATTGGGATAATCTGCAGTTCCAGCACCCAGGTTCAGCAGACCTTGGTAATGTGGCCAAATCCGGTCCCTTAAGGAAGCCATTTTTGTTCCCCTCAGAGAGCCTGTCTTCCAATGATCACTATGCCATCTCCTCTTTCTTCTCTCTGTCTCTTCAGACCAAGGAGGAGCCAGGATATGTACATTTCTCTCTCTCTTCCCCCTACTGACAGCTTCTTGGTGCTTTCTCGGATCTTGAAGTGAGAACTTGGTTGTTCTAATTTGCTCAGTTTCCCCAAGGAAAGGATAAAAATAGCCCTCATCTGAGGCAGACAGACGAAGGAAGATGCTCCCCTAGCAGAGCAAATCTCCTGTGTTTTTCTCTTTCTGTCCCCGTGGACTCAGTTTCCACCAGATCCTTCACCTTTCTCTACCTTTTAACCTTCCTTTATCCTACTATTTTCCTATTTCTTCTAAAGTCACAGGAAGCCCTCGACTTACAGCCTAATATTTCTGTTGCCAAACAAGCAGTTAGGTGAATGTTGCCTCATTTTACGACCTTTCTTGCCACAGCGGTTAAGTGAATCACTGCGGTTGTTAAGTTAGTGACATGTTGTTAAGTGAATCTGGCTTCCCCATTGACTTTGCTTGTCAGAAGCTCGCAAAAAACATGACCCAGGGACACTGCAACCATCGTAAATATGAGCCGGTGGCCAAGAGTCCAAATTTTGATCATGTAACTATGGGGGTGATGCAACGGTCGTAAGTGTGAAAAAACAGTGATAATTCACTTTTTTTTCAGTGCCACTGAAACTTTGACCGGTCACTAAAGGAACGGTTGTAACTTCGAGGACTGCCTGTATTGGGTTCTACTGATAACGTCTGCCTTAAAATTTGTGAACGCTGTCTCAAACGTCACTTCCCCCACCTCCATAACTCATCTGAAGGAATGAGAAAAGGATGATGTCTTAAAAGGAACACCAACCACACTGGAGATTCGAACTGCATACCTGGTGCCATCCATTTGTTCTTTCCTTTGGGAAGATGGAACGGAGAGGAAACATGGGAGAAAAGCAGTGGGAAAGAAGAGATGTTAAATACGATATTAAACTTCAAAGGACATTAGCGTTATCGGTTTTGACACCTAGTGGCTACATTTGCATATCACGTTTAATCCAGTTACAGGATTAAAAATGAGATGGGTTTGAATGATACGTTCCCGATTGTGTCACTCCAATGGTTTCACTTTGCACAAGAGGCGGAGATACAATAAAGCAAAACCAGGTTAAAACTAACCAAGCTTTGCATGCTGTACAAACGATACTCATGGATCTTTCATTGCTTTGCAAAGTCAGCCAATAGAGATACTACTCATACATCATTTCTGCTTTTATTCTGGGGACTCCTGTCCTTATATGTAATTAGTAAATAATAGTAACTGGGAGATGGATCTCGGAGTCCTAGCGGATAATCACTTAAATATGAGCCAGCAGTGTGTTGCAGCTGCCAAAAAAGCCAACACAGTCCTAGGCTGCATTAACAGAGGTATAGTATCAAGATCACGTGAAGTATTAATACCACTTTATAATGCCTTGGTAAGGCCACACCTGGAATACTGCATCCAGTTTTGGTCCCCATAATGTAAAAAAGATATTGAGGCTCTAGAAAGGTTACATAGAAGAGCAACAAAGATGATCAGGGGATTGGAGGCTAAAACATATGAAGAACGGTTGCTGGAATTGGTCTAGTTTAATGAAAAGAAGGATGAGGGGTGACATGATAGCAGTCACCCTGGGTGTTTTGACTACATAAGGATCCTCATACAAAGAGCCCATCCAATCAATCAGAATAGAATAGAGCTGGAAGGGACCTTGGAGATCTTCTAGTCCAGCCTCCTGCTCAAGCAGGAGTCCCTATATCATTTCAGACAAGTGGCTGTCCAGTGTCTTCTTAAAAACCTTGAGTGATGAAGCACCCACATCTGGTGGCAAGCTGTTCCACTGGTTAGGAAGTTTCTTCTTAATTCCAAGTTCCTTTCTCTTTGATTAGTTTCCATCTGTTGTTTCTTATCCTGCCCTCTAGTGCATTGGAAAATAAACTGATCCCCTCCTCCTTGTGGCAGCCCCTCAAATACTGGAATACTGCTATCATATCCCCCCCACTCCTTCTTTTCTCTAGAGTGGCCATACCAAATTCCTGCAACCGTTCTTCCTCTGTTTTAGTCTCCAGGCCTTTAATCATCTTAGTTGCTTTTCTTTGCACTTTTTCCAAAGTCTCAACATCTTTTTTGTAATCCACTGTTAAATTATAAAATATTTTCCCAACTGAGGTCCTTTAGACATGCTAGGCCTGAACTCTCATAATCCTCAAGTAACAAGAAGGCATTGAAGGAAGGGTCTGCAAGTGATTAACAACACTTTCCACCACCACCACCCCTCCCCATTACAAAGCTTGTCCTTTCACATGCCCTCCTCCCCAGTTTTGGCTTGGATGATCCTTTAAATAAGCCAAATGGAAAAACTGAACCAAAGGAATGTGCTGAACTTACCTGAAATATGGAAATGATACAATGGACTCGTAAAACCTCCATGTGGCAACAAGATCTAGCCTATTGGGATTAGTAGCGTAGTACCTCCAGGCAGCCTAGGAAACACAAAAGAAGCAACGGCTATGTCTAATAAACAAGTGCATTGCGGGGAAATTTATAGATTATCTAAGTACTGAATATTAATCAACTAAATACTGAGCAATGCCAGAGACAAAATCTGGTTTGTTACTGATTCTTCATCTGGCGTTGAAGGTTGTTACAATCACCCTTTTCCCATCCAGCAAAGCAAAGTGAGGCTTCAGAGCACATTGGTGAAAAGTAGGGCGGATATATGATGCATCAGGGTATTATTATCTGTTCAGTCCCAAGTGTCTTCTCCTGAACTTGGAGCTCAAGCACTATCAACATCTTCCTTCCCCTGTCCTGACTACTTTCTACAGGGGGACAATCGAGAGCATCCTGTCATACAGCATCACAGTCTGGTTTGGAAGCATCACTGCTTCAGACAGGAAGGTGGTGCAGAGAGTGGTGAGGATGGCAGAAAAGATCAATGGCAGTTACCTCCCTCCCATCCAGGAGATAGCGCAGAAGTGTTGCTTGAGCAGGGTCCACAGGATTGTCTGGGATGCTACACAATCCTCTCCGCGACCTGTTTTCCTTGTTACCTTCTGGGAGGGGGCTTTGTGGTATCCGTAGCAGAACATCCAGATTCAGCCATAGTTTCATTCCATATAGCATTAACCTTGTGAACTCTCAAGCTTCTTCCTTCCGTTATATATTCAAGATGGACAGTATTTAATATTTATTTGCTGTGTATATGTAGGGGTGTGGGTCTATACATATGTTGTACATAGTATGTTTGAGAGCGGGCAACTAAATTTCATTTTTGATGTGTACCATTGTGCCCATAATAAAGATTATCTGATTATGACAAAAAAGATTATCTTAATCTTATCCCTCTCTGAAGGTGGCTTACACTGCAGAGTTGTAGAATTTGGCTTTCAGTGGACACCAAAAGAAGCTAAGATACTTTCTGTTTCTGTTCCCAGCGCAGTTCCTCCTACTTCTACACAAAAACTAAAGAAATGGATTTCTTCCCTTTTTCACCTTTCTCCAAACTTGGGGGGAGGAGAAAAAAACCTCTAGAACAGTGGTTCTCAACCTTTTTAATGCCACGACCCCCAACCGGTCATAAGTTGAGGACTATTCAACCGGTCGTAAGTCGAGGACTACTCAACTGGTACAGCACCATTAGCAGAATGGGACTTTTGGCGGGCTCAGCAGGGCAGAAACAGCCTGGACAATTCCTATTGGCTTTTGAAAGCCAATAGAATTAGACTCTATTCAAGAGAGTCTATTCTATTGGCTTTCAAAAGCCAATAGAATAAAAGGGAGTAGCACAGCTAAGGAAAAGGGGGAAAAAATGGCGGACTGTGTTGTTTGGCGACCCTCTGAAATGGTCGTTCGACCCCAAATGGGGTCCCGACCCACAGGTTGAGAACCCACTGCTCTAGAATGACTGAGGGGCACCGAATTTGCAGAGAGCAGGGACCCATGAAAAGAGGATCTGAAATACATATGGCTGCTCCTATGATTTTTGCAGCGAAGAGATCTGAGATGAGTGAGCCCCTATAGCAGGGGTCCCCAACCCCCAGGCCACGGCCCATTTGGAACTGGGTCACACAAGAGGCAGACAAGCACGAGAGTGTGTACAGCTCCGTTTGCGCAAGCGGCAGGCACACACAGAACCATCCCCTATCCCTCCCCCAGGCCGCCGTCACCAGACCAAAAAACAAGAAAGTTTGGAGACCGCTGCCCTATAGGAAGGAGACAAACAGAGCCTGGGAGGTGGAGTCAAACGAGTCATCAGCCTAAAGTCATTACATTCCCACTGACGGTCTAAGTGCAACCCCTCTTGAACTTTGCTGTGCGGAATTTTAGTGCCAACTTAGTAAGATTAATGTCAGACACAAAGAATCAGAACAACATATAGAGTTCCAGGTAAGATGATTTATAGTTCATGGCAGTATACAAGAAACTAGCCAACTGATGTTCAGCACTAAATTGGCACTAGATAAGTATCAACAAAATTCAAGAGGGTTTGGACTTCGATTGTTTGAACAACTAAGACTCTAAGCTGATGACTCGCGTGACTCCACCCACCAGGCTCTGCCTGCTCTTCTCCTACACCAGGGTTCTCCAAATTTGGCAACTTTAAAACTTTAAGCCAGATGAAGAATTCTGGGAGTTGAAGTCCACAAGTTGACTTAAAGCTGCCAGGTTTGGAGAACCCTGTTCCACATTATGGCTTTCAGAGGCACGGACGTTAGTTATGCACCCTTCCCACCACACGTTATGGAAAAGAGGACATGCAAACCTGTATGAGTTCAGCTGCAGGTTTCCTTCTTTTTTCAAAGTGCTTTTGGCGATGTTGTTCCTGGACTTTTAGGGCCAGTCCTGAACCCAAAATGCCCTGTAAGGCAAGATGAACAAATCAACGCTTGAAATATTTCTTCATGGAAAGTGTAGAATGCAAAAATCTCTTCCATCAGGTGACCACATAACAAAGAGTAAGAATCTAGCTTCTTCTAATTTTTCAGGACAGCAGAAGGTGAATATGGTCCAAGGAAGTCTGGAGAAACGTGAGCTATGTCAGTAGGAATGCTCGTAAAAATTATAGTGAGAAGAATATAAGCCATGTGGGACACTTTATCACCATATGCTGTTGTTGGTGCTTCCACAGTCAATAATGTCAATTTCTTCACTCTGTTCTGCCTTCTCTTTTCTTAGGACCTAACAAGTATCCCTTGGAATTCAATCCCAAAGATGCTTTTTCACGAGGCAACTGGACTTTCTTGTTTTTCTTTGAAGACGTTTTGCTTCTCATCCCAGAAGCTTCTTCAGCTCTTGGATGAGAAGCGAGCAGTTCTTCAAAGAAAAACAAGGAAGTCCAGTTGCCTTGTAAAAAATAATCTTTGGGATAACTATGGCCTGGATGACTGAGAATCTCCACAGACCTTGAATTCAATATTCCAAACATGACTTCCGCTCACTAAGTTTGGGTGATACATCACAGGTCGCCTGTTTTAGGATTTCTAGTTCCTCCTGCTTATTTACCCATATCCTGTGTAAGCATATTCAGGTCGTACTTACATTACGACCGTAGTGGAGCTTGCATAGTATAATGATGGTAAAACAGGTAAAAAAAATATGTTTTTTGCACTAGTCATTATGCGAACACGGTAGCTGTAAGTCCAAACCCGTTGTTCATTACAGGCATCTTTCCGTTAGAGAAATGGACACCCTTTTATTTGCAGAGGATGAACCTCTGAGAAATTGCGAGGAAGATTTCAGGAATGGCGCCCTGATCTCTCACGAGGTCGTTGATGAAACTTACAGCTGGAAGGGCAAAAAACGAAACTCCGACAAGGGAAAACGTTGCTGCAATCAAGCGCCCTTCCCACGTTTTCGGTGTCTTGTCCCCGTAGCCGATGGTTGCCAGCGTAATCTGTGGGGAGAATGTTTGGGACAGTCTGTAAGAAAGACAAAGCAAACGAGCAAGAAGGTTGACTCCTTGGCACTTCCAGAGGCCCCGTTCCACACCCAGACTCTGCCTCTCACCTGACTGGTAAGCCTGAGGACGAGGAACTATGCCCTGGAGAACCCTGGACATTTATTATTGTCTGTAAGATTTTGAGTCTGTTGGAGTACGGGGCAGAAAAGTCATTCTGCAAGTTTTGTTTTCATACAAGACTGTAAAATTTTCTCCTTCCTTCCCTTCCTTCCTTCTTCTCCCACCCCTCCCTCATGCATCCATCTACCCATCCATCCCCTACTCCTTCCTCCCTTTCTTCCTTCCTTCCTTCCTTTCCTTCTCCTATCCCCCCCTCTCCATCCGTTCCTCCCTCCCTCCCCCATCCATCCCTCCTCTATTCCTTCCTTTCCTTCCTTCTCCTACCCCTCCCTCTCTCCATCTCTTCCTCCCTCCCATCCATCCATCCCCTACTCCTTCCTTCCTTCCTTCCTTCCTTCCTTCCCTTCGTCTACCTATAACTAAAGTAGCTGAGTCTACAGGACTCAGGAATTTTGGTTGCAAGACTCACCCATTATCTGGGTGTCCACTGCGTCAAATCATAAACACACAGACCCACACTCATCAGCATTAACATTACCCAGGCCTAGAAGACTGTACAACTACGACTAACTGACCTGGTTCAGCCCAGCCAAGCGATATCCAACAATAAAATGAGAAATACAAATCCCAAATGTAGAAGAATTTTGCCCTATTTAGATGAAAGATCCGAAACAAAACCTCCAATCAGCATGATCACGGTGGATACTGACCAGTCCCCACCAGAGGGCATCAGCATAGGTCCCAAACTCTTTCGTCTCTTTCCCATCCTCATCTTTTTCCAGCACGTCCTTCTCCACCAGATAAACCAGGAATGAGGAGAGAATAAGGGTCAAGAACCCGATGTACCAGGCGGTGATGAGCTCCTAAGAGGGAACAGAAGGCCATAAGCGAAAGGAAAACACTTAACCGAACCAAGAGTCCAAATTTAAGCTAATTAAATTAAGTTGATGAACATTCTCAGCCATCCAGGTAGAGTCAGACTAAAGAAGCTACTTAGATAAGCAACGAAACATTCAAACTAATCAATTCACCCTGACCAGTAAGGGTTGTCCCAAGAGTTTGGGTTGCTTTGGACAAGAACCTCAAAAAGTCTCCTTTCTCCTCACAAGTCTATCTTCTCATCTACACGGTTGTTGATGCTTCTCATTCTCTTTTGCATGACTAGAGATTATCTTCTTTCTTGTAAAGTTTTTATTATTATTTTTTCATACAGTTCAATAGTATTTATTCAACAAACGTGTTATCTGAGTTTATCCTTCACTAATACAAATGTTAATTCCTAACCCCTTATTCTTTTCTCCAGACATGGATAAAATAAGTCCCAAGTTTGAAAGTATTCTGTTTCTTCTTTTTCTTTCAACCTCAAAGTAAGTCTCTCCATTTCTGCACAGTCTAGTATTTTTTTTAATTATTTCTTCCTCTGGTGGTATTTCTTCGTTTTTCCAATATTGTGCAAATATGATTCTTGCCACTGTTCTCGCATGCAAAATAAAGTATATATCAATCTTTTCTGGCATTATACCTAGTAAAAAAAAGTTCAGGTTTAAAATCTACATGCTTTCCCAACATCTTTTCTAGCCAAGTATATATTTTTGTCCAGTACCTCTTTGCTTTAACACATGTCCACCATACGTGGTAATAAGTACCTGACTTATGTTTACATTTCCAACATCTATCTGACATATTGTTAAACATTTTTGCTAATCTTGCTGGTGGCAAGTGCCATCTGTAAAACATTTTATATAAGTTTTCTTTGTAAGAAGTTGACATTGTCAATTGATAATTTCTTTCCCACAAGTTTTGCCATTTTTATAAATCTGTTATATCCAAAATTTCTTGCCCATGTTGTCTTCTTGATTACCAATGATGAGAAAATGGAAGCATCTACCGTTCCTGCTCAGATCTATATCTGTTGTCTAAACTGGCATGAAAAGTTAGCAAATGAGCAGGCTGGTCCTGGGTAAGGACTCGATAGGTAGACAAAATGCCAAATCCAGTCTGAACATCTGGCTGACTGTGCGATGACCCATAATAATAATAATAATAATGATAATAATGATAATAATGATAATAATGATAATGATGATGATGATAATAATAATAATAATAATAATAATAATAATAATAATAATAATAATAATGGACGTGGCAGTGGATGTGGCAGTGCCTGGAGACAGCAGAATAGATGAGAAAGAACTGGAGAAGATAACAAAATACAAAGACCTACAAATAGAAATAGAAAGACTGTGGCAAAAGCAAGCAAGGGTAGTACCAATAGTAATAGGCTCCTTGGGTGCAATCCCAAAACAACTGGAGCACACTTGAACACCATTGGCATTGACAAATTCGCTATTAGTCAATTGCAAAAGGCGGCCTTATTAGGAACTGCTTCCATCCTGCGACGATACCTGTAATACCATCAAACATCCACATCTGCCTATCCCAGGTCCTGGGTAAGGACTAGATAGGTAGACAAAATGCCAAATCCAGTCTGAACATCTGGCTGACTGTGCGATGATCGATAATAATAAAAGTTGGAAGGGACCTTGGAGGTCATCTAGTCCAACCCCCTGCTCTGGCAGGAAACCCTATACCATTTCGGACAAATGGCTGTCTCTTCTTAAAAACTTCCAGTGTTGGAGCATTCACCGCTTCTGGAGGCAGGTTGTTCCACTGGTTCATTGTTCTAACTGTCAGGAAGTTTCTCCTTAGTTCTAGGTTGCTTTTCTCCTTGATTAGTTTCCATCTGTTGCTTCTTGTCTTACATTCAGGTGCTTTGGAAAATAGCTTGACTCCCTCTTCTTTGTGGCAGTCCCTGAGATATTGGAAGACTGCTGTCATGTTCCCCCTTCGTCCTTCTCTTCGTTAAACTAGACATGCCCAATTCCAGCAACCGTTCCTTATATGTTTTAGCCTCCAGTCCCCTAATCATCTTTGTTGCTCTTCTCTGTACTCTTTCTAGAGTCTCAGCATCTTTTTACATCGTGGTGACCAAAACTGGATGCAGTATTCCAAGTGTGGCCTTACCAAGATCAACGTGGAGTAGATCCAAAGGTTTCTTGTGAGTAGACCCTCCCTTGAGGTGTGGATCCATTCTTACACAACCCTTAGTAATGATCCCCAAACTACTGTGAACACTCAACCTGGACCAGTAGTGGTGCTTTTGTGGATAGTTTATCCCTTCTGGCTGCATTTCTTTTATTCCATTCTTCTTTGCCCGTCTTCCCTCCTCTTCTAGCACTGATGATGTTACCTAGTTTGGTAATGAAATGTCTGCAAAAAAACAAGCAAGCTCAGAGAGCACCAAGGACCCCTCATTTCAACCCTGAGCTACAAATATTCTCTTCTATCATTTCCCTTCGTACTTTGCTGTGTGCACAAATAGCTGATCCCAGAAGCTTCCAGGTGCCACCTCTACGGTCCATACGCAGCATCCTCAGGATCTGGAGGAAGCGGAGACTCCTCAGAGATGTAGCTAGCACGTTGCCTTGGTTGCCAACAGCTACCACTGGGACAGAGGCAATCAGTACAAAGATATCTGGGGAGAGAGATCGAGAACAAATCTTGACGAAAGGAAGGATGAAGATCCAGGACTCATTTGGGGATCTAGAAAAATCTAGATCAGGGGTCTTCAAAGTTGGCCCTTTTATGACTTGTGGACTTCAACTCCCAGAATTCCTCAGCCAATGTGCCTGGCTGAGGAATTCTGGGAGCTGAAGTCCACAAGTCATAAAAAGGCCAAGTTTGAAGACCCCTGATCTAGATGGTATCCACAGGGAACAATGACAAATAGGCTTTCTACACATCTTGGGAGAATTTTTAAAAAAAAATACATTTCAGGTTCATTTAATTTCCTTGTTTGCAGCTTTATTTGCATAAGTCATTTTAGGATGAGGATGACATCACCTACACATCTTCAAGACTTTTATCAATATCGACTTATGACTGTACATTTAACAGCAGTTCAGATTAGCAAAAGTCAGTTACAGCCTAAATTGGATGGCTGAACAGAATTTGGTCACTTTTATCAATTCGACAATCCAAACTGAAATCTGGTGGGAAGCAATTCAACTCAACCCTACGAATCATATCACAAATGTGAACCGAAGAGGCTTCGCTTTTCACACGACAAACTGGAGCAAAGAAAGCCCAAGAGTGCATTGTCCTTTTTGGCAACTGCGGCACACTGCTAACACATGGAACAACTAAGTGTCATTGGATTTCAAGTGGGAATCCTGTTATTTTTTTCCTAAGATCAAAGCTGGTGTGATTATTAAGGTGCTAGACTGGGAAGGAAAGGCAGGGTGTTTTAAAATCGAGCCAAAACTCAGCTCTGGAACCTCATTGTGTGACTTTGTTGTTGTTATCTCCCTTCAATGACTGAGGAAAATATTTATTTTACTAAACAAGGAAAGCTTCTCACCTACCACCCGCTACTACAAAAGCAGGAGAACTGTACATTATAAATGCCTTGAACTGTTTCAGAAATTAATACCTTTCTACTAAAGTTGTAAGTGAACTATTTATTTTTCTATTGTTTATCTATGCTAGTGTTGGTCACGAAAGGCCACCCTTGTGAAGGTTCAGTCAAACTGGTTTATTGCTACTCAAGTCTATGCACAGGAATCTTCTCAAGTCATGTTTAGCACCTATTGGAGTTAGATATGGGTCAATAGAATTCAAAGGGGGTTGGACTTAGTTCACTTGTGGCTACCTAAGAATTCTAGGCTGATCCCTCTTTTAACTCCGCCCCCAGGTTATGCCACTTCTTTTCCTACAACATCCTTTATAATCCAATTTCACATCCTTTACTTCTAATTCATTTGTTTCTTGCAGATCCCCTATGTTTCTTTTGTTGCAAACTCCACATATTCCTATTGTGTAGAACTATGCTCCTTTTTTAACAGAGTTTGAACTGTCTTTGATTTTTTTTTAAAGTTTTGCGTTCTGTTTCTGTTCTGCCCAATTATTATTATTTTTTTCACCTTTTTGCTTGTATATTTTTGGCTGGCCTTCTGGACTCTCCTGTTCCAAAGAATGGCTCCAGCTGAAGGAAGAAAGGAATGTCTCTCGTGACCCAGTTTTTCATGCTATAATCTGTTTTTTCCATTTTTCTCCTTCTCAGTGTGGCTGCAGTGTGTTTATTCTGTCTATTGTTTAGTTTTATTCCAGGACTTTGGGCTCTGTTGATTCTCTGTCTTCTATTCTCCCCCTAATCAGCCTGCCCAATGTGGGTGCTTGCCTAATGTGGGTGCTTGATTGGCAGCTGCTGTTTGATTGGCAGATGGGTTGTCCTGATGATGGGGGAGGGCTGAGAAAGGAGGAGCAGGTAAGAACACAGGTGTTTATCATCACTTTGGGTAGTTTTGTCTTTCCACACCACCAAACAGGGTTCTTGTTGTGATGGTTAGAATGCTATGTACATGTCATCTTCAGCTGGAGAAAAGTTAGAATACAAATCACACTGAAGAAATAAACACTTATCTCATTAGACCTGGGATAGATTGATAGATAGATAGATAGATAGATAGATAGATAGATAGATAGATAGATAGATAGATAGATAGATAGATAGATAGACAGACGACAGACAGACAGACAGACAGAGAAATATGGATACAGATATGGAGATAGATAGATAGATAGATAGATAGAGATAAAGATAGATAGATAGATAGATAGATAGATGAGATAGAGATAGATAGATAGATAGATAGATAGATAGATAGATAGATAGATAGATAGGGAGATAGGGAGATAGATAGATAGATAGATAGATAGATAGATAGATAGATAGACGACAGACAGACAGACAGAGAAATATGGATACAGATATGGAGATAGATAGATAGATAGATAGATAGATAGATAGATAGATAGATAGATAGATAGATAGATAGATAGATAGAAAGATAGATAGATAGATAGATAGATAGATAGATAGATAGATAGACGACAGACAGACAGAGAAATATGGATACAGATATGGAGATAGATAGATAGATAGATAGATAGATAGATAGATAGATAGATAGATAGATAGATAGATAAGGAGATAGATAGATAGATAGATAGATAGATAGATAGATAGATAGATAGATAGATAGATATTTTAAAAATTATAATTCATTTAACTTGGGCGGTCCTTGAGTGCCACCTAGTGGCAACACGGCCATCAAGCATCCGAGCCACAACGGATTGCTTCTATTTATATAACGGTCTTTAAAATAACACTGTTTTCACATGGTTTTTTTACCTCAGTGTACTTTGTGTTAACTTTTCTAGTTAAGAGTGATGGATGGCGGGGGATCATTACCGCATCAGAGTCTATTTTGGTGTTTCTGAGCAAGAAGAAAGCTGCGGCTGGTTTATTTTCCACGCCTGCTCGGAAAAGAAGCAGGGATATAAAAGCGCCACACGCTTACCCAACATACAGAGAGGCTTTCTGGCGAATTTGAGTCTCCCACGCCATCCCTTGTACCGGCAGCAGCAGCCAGCTGCCCAGATCCTTAAGGCAAATTCCGCTCCGAAGATGAAAATGGCAAAGGTTTCCTATCAGAAAGAACATGGGGAGAAAAAACCCTGCAATAACAAAATTTTGAGGAATATATCACTCGATAAAACAACTCTCGGTGCTCAAAATAAATTATTTGGATAAAGAGAATCTGGCTGGAAGCGGAATGTTTCACAAATGGGTCCATCCAAGCCATTGGGTGGGACTAGAACTCACTGTCTCCTGGTGATTGGCCCAAAGTCAGCCAGCTGCCTTTCATGTCTAAGGTGGGACTAGAACTCACAGTCTCCTGGTGATTGGCCCAAAGTCAGCCAGCTGCCTTTCACGCCTAAGGTGGGACTAGAACTCACAGTCTCCTGGTGATTGGCCCAAAGTCAGCCAGCTGCCTTTCACGCCTAAGGTGGGACTAGAACTCACAGTCTCCTGGTGATTGGCCCAAAGTCAGCCAGCTGCCTTTCACGCCTAAGGTGGGACTAGAACTCACCGTCTCCTGGTGACTGGCCCAAAGTCAGCCAGCTGCCTTTCACGCCTAAGGTGGGACTAGAACTCACCGTCTCCTGGTGATTGTCCCTAAGTCAGCTAGCTGTCTTTCATGGCTAAGGCTGGACTAGAAATCAGTCTATTTGGTGATTGGCCCAAGTCACTCAGATGGCTTTCATGCCCTAAGGTGACATTGTAACTCATAATTTCCTGGCTCCTAAGCTAGCACCTTCATCATTAGGCCAAACTGGCTCTAGAACCATGCCCCCTTTTGGGCGCCAGGGACCAATTCTATGGAAGGCTTTTTCCCCCACAGACTGGGGGAGGGCTGTGGTTTTGCCTACTGCCTGGTTCCTGCATATGCGTGGATAGGGCTACATTCACCTGTGTCACCTGGTTATTGGCAGGCCACCAATCACTGGCCCGGGGGGGGGGTTGGGGAACCCTGCTCTAGAAGACTCCAAATTGGGGGAAGACCTTTTCAAAGCAAATTCAACTATGTTGAGGATTCCCAACATGTCCAGAAGTTATAAGGAACAATTGTATCATTGACCCATCCCTGATCCATCCCAGATCACTGCTCTAGGCTTAGATTTCTTTCCAAGACATAATTCCTGATGACAGGACACACGCGCCACCTTTTCGCATGTGCTTAGTAACATCACATGCTAGTATTTGAGGCGCAGCGATGTGGTTTTGGACCCCTTGCCTCGTCTTGCCCCCTTCTGCAGAGACTTATGCTAAGATCACTTGTTTCCAGACTTTGCTGGAGCCCACAAGCCTATCACGAAAAAATAAATCCATTTTGCTTTGGAAACTAAAATGATAGGAAAGGTTGAAACATTCCGGCCCTTATATGTTCTATTCCAAGGTCTGAGTAGGTCACTGGAGGAGTCACTGATCCCAGCAGAAGTGGTCCAGTCTCAAAAGAGTCCATTTCAAGGCTGGAGCCCTTCCAGAAAAGCTGGGATAGCCCATTCCAACAATGGAATCCTTCCAGGAAAATTTCCAATCATAGAAGACTTCCTGTAAGGGTTGAACTGACTGGTTCTGACCTCACAGCATTTCCAGTAAGGTTGGGATGCTTGTTCCAATAATGGAGCATTTCCAACAAGATTGGAACAAGTCTTTCAGAGTCAGGATGTTTAGATTTTGATATATTTTGTCCACTTCTGTAGGAAACCAAGGAAGTTCCTTACATCAAGAAACACTGCTAAGTCCAGGGCTGTCTAGTCCAGGGGTAGGCAACCTTGGTTCTTTTGTGACTCATGGACTTCAGCTCCCAGAATTCCTGAGCCAGCATGGGGGAACTATGGCCCCTTCATGACTCATGGACTTCAACTCCCAGAATTCCTGAGCCAGCATGGGGGAACTATGGCCCCTTCATGACTTGTGGACTTCAACTCCCAAAATTCCTGAGCCAGCATGGGGGAACTATGGCCCCTTCATGACTTGTGGACTTCAACTCCCAGAATTCCTGAGCCAGACATGCTGAGGGGAAAGGGAGAGGTTTCCAAGCTGAGCCATGCTGGCTCAGGAATTCTGGGAGTTGAAGTCCACGAGTCATAATGGTTTAGTCTAATGCAATAGCTCTCCAAGGGCATGAACAGAAGTGACCGTTCGATCTTATTAACTGGAGAGACTAGGGAGTGAAGAGTGGATCTTTGGCAATTACAGAGTGTCCCTGCCATGTTTTTTCTTCTTAAAATGTCCAATTAACCCCCAATTTCATTAATACAGGAGGCTGTCTACGGGATCTCAGTAACCCAGCCGACCTCTGTTAGATGGGGATGCTTCTTTTGGCAAAGCTACATAGCCAATTTTAGAGGCTGCTCACTCGTGCAAATCTGCCCATTCATGCAAAGATTTTACTCATGGTTCTTTATCTTCTACTACAGCAGTCAATGCCATCTAGGGCTTGGGAAGTCTTGGATAAGAATGATCCATTAAAGCAGTGCTTAATCAATGCATTCCTGAAGCAGAAACATTTGTATTGTTTTATCATCTAGCTAACCATTTGGAATTGCTCTTTGCCGCCTGTACTAGATTATAAAATCTTCAATTAAGCCTTGGCAAAATGGAGTGGCTTTGAGTTTTATCAGAATAACAGAATTGGAAGGGACCTTGGAGGTCTTCTGGTACAGGGCTTTTCAACCAGTGGTACGGGTACCACCTGTGGTACATTGGCACCTGGCAGGTGGTACGCGACCATCCTAGAAAAGTGTTAGCGGAGGAGGGGAATGAGCTGAACCGGTGGCAGCACCACACAAGCCTGAGCGAGAGATGGCTGGAGCTGCAAGGCTGTCAGGGCTCAGCGGAAGCACCAGGATCAGTGCCGCTGTCCAGCTGATCGGCGCTTCTTCAGGGCTGTCAGGGCTCAGTGGAAGCACCAGGATCAGCACCAGGATCCAGCTGGAGCTCGGCGCTGATCCTGGCACTTCTGCTGAGTCCAGAAGAAGCGCCAATCAGCTGGAATGTTGCAGCATCTCCAGGGTCTTGTGATTTACATTCAAATGCTTGGCAACTGATTCATATTTATGATGGTCACAGTGTCCCAGGGTCATGAAACCTGCTGCAACCACCCAGCAGATGGGGAGGAATAAAAACCAAACACCCCCCCATCCCATCCCTGCTGCCAATCCTCAACAAAAATGCTCACAACAATGAAAACCTCGAACAGGAGGAAGAGCGCTGCTGGGTGGGCAGGCAGGTGTCTTGCTTCGCTGTAGCTTTGGGGGCACTTTTTTTTAGTGCCATTGTAACTTCTAACAGTCACTAAGCGAACTGGTGTAAGTTGAGGACTACCTGTACTTTATCACTTTTTTCTTTTTGGGGGGGCAGGGATCATCGTTTTTGATACCTTGCTAGGCGACTGGTGGTACTTGGATGTTGCCATATCCTAAAAGTGGTATAATGGGTGAAAAGGTTGAAAAGCCCTGGTCTAGTCCAATCCCACACTCAGGCAGGAAACCCTATAACATTTCAGACAAGTGAATTAAGGAGAACCCGGAACTAACCTGGAATTAAGGAGAAACTTCCTAATAGTGAGGACAATTAACCAGTGGAACAGCTTGCCTTCAGATGTTGTGGGTGCTACATCACTAGCAGTTTTTAAGAAGATACTGGACAGCCACTTATCTGAAATGTTATAGGGTCTCCTGCTTGAATAGGGGGCTGTATTAGAAGACCTCCAAGGCCCCTTCTAGCTCTATTCTGATTGATTGAAATGGTTGTCCAATCTCTTCTATAAAACCTCCAGTGTTGGAGCATCCACAATTTCTAGAGGCAAGTTGTTCCACTGATTAATTGTTCTGTCAGAAAATTCCTCCTTAGTTCTAGGTTGCTTCTCTCTTTGGTTAGTTTCCATCCGTTGCTTCTTGTCCTGCCTTCAGGCACTTTGGAGGATAGCTTGACTCCCTCTTCTTTGGGGCAGCCCCTGAGATATTGGAAGACTGCTGTCATGGCACCCCTCGTCCTTCTCTTCATTAAACTTGACATACCCAATTCCAGCAATCGTTCCTTATATGTTTTAGCCTCCAGTCCCCTGATCATCTTTGTTTCTCGTCTCTTTTCTAGAGTCTCAACATCTTCTTTTTTTATTGTGGCGACCAAAACTGGACGCAGTATTCCAAGTGTGGCCTTACCAAGGAATTATAAAGCCTAACAAATCGAGAACTAGAACATCTTTGCTTCTGGATGGTATGATACTGCTCCAAACAAAGTTGGTGTGCAATCTGGGGGTCCCTTTGATCTTAGAAAGCAGGTGGCAGCGATGGCCAGGAGGACCTTTGTGCAACTTTGTGTTACGTGCCAGTTGTTGCGCCTGTTCCTGTACTATGTGGTTCTGTTCACAGTCACTCTTGTCTTAGGTCACTTCCTGGATAGATTACTGCAACATGCCGTACCTGGCACTGTCCTTGGAAGAATATAGAGAAGCTTCAGCATATATAAAATAAGGTGGTATAAGCAGATATATGTGGGTCCCTAGATGGACCCATGTTGCTCTCTGTTCTGTGAGCTGCAATGGTTGATAGTTTGCTTCCAAGTCCAAAGTGCTTGTTTTGACCTTGAAAGCTCCATATAGCATGGCCCAATGTCATCTGAAGGGCTTCCTCTTCAGTTGCATTTACCCACCATAGCAGGTCCAGCAGGAGAAGCATCCAGCAGGTCTCATGCACAGAAGTGTCCCATCTGATGGTATCTAGGAAGCAAACCTGTTCTGCCATAGCATCCACCCTCTGGATCATTATCCCTCCCAAGGAGAAATTAGATCGCCCCTAATAACCTGGAAAAACTTAAAATAATCTGGAAAAAATTCAGAGAAGATCAACTAAGATGATCAAAGGCTTGGAGACCAAAACGTACGAAGAATGGCTGCGGGACTTGGCTTTGGCCAGTCTAAAGAAAAGAAGAAATAGGGGAGACGTGACAGCAGTGTTCCAGTATCTGAGGGGCTGCCACAAGGCAGAGGGGGGCAGGCTGTTCACCAGAGCACCAGAAGGAAGGATAAGAAACAATGGTTGGAAACTGATCAAAGAGAGAAGCAACCTGGAATTAAGGAGAAACTTCCTGACAGTTAGGACAATCAACCAGTGGAACAGCTTGCCTCCGGAAATCGTGGGCGCTCCATCACTGGAGGTTTTTAAAAAGAGACTAGACAATCATGTGTCTGAGATGGTATAGGTCCTCCTGCTTGAGCAGGGCGCGGGACTAGAAGACCCTTGCAACTCAGCTCTGGCTCTGCTCTCTTCTCTTCTCTTCTCTTCTCTTCAGTAAAGCTCTCTAAATGTAGAGGTTTTTTTCCAGCAAACCTCAGGATCATATAAGGAGCCCGAATTCTGGTTATACTGCATGTAAACAGCTTCCCTATCATCGTCTTGTTTTATCCAGGTTTATTGCTTTAATGAATTTGCAAAAAACTTTTAATTCTTGGTTTTATTGTATGCCAGAGTCACTTTGGGTGAGGTGAGTGCCCACATAAATTTGACAAATTAAAAATAAATTAAACTCCTTCAAGTTTAATTCACCACGGCGGAACAGGAATATCAACAATAACTTTGCGACAAGCCTATCTATGCTTACCAAAAGCAACAGCCAATATCCCGAAGCTTTTTCGTATTCTCCGAAAGTGGTCAGCACTGCTAAAATCAAGCATCCCAGCACTATCAGAAATCTGGAGGGAGACAGAAGAGGGAAACAAAATATTGTCAGGTGTTCTTTCTATCAGCAATTCTCTAAAAGGGTTGAGGCAGAAGGAGAGAGAAAGAGAGAGCTTTTGTCCTGAGCTTAAGGTGGTCGTAAGCCAGGGGTCTTCAAACTCGGCCCTTTTATGACATGTGGACTTCAACTCCCAGAATTCCTCAGCCAGCAATGCCGGCTGAGGAATTCTGGGAGTTGAAGTCCACAAGTCATAAAAGGGCCAAGTTTGAAGATCCCTGTCTTAAATCTAACAAACAAAATGGAGGCTGGCTGGGGAATTCTGGGAGTTGAAGTCCACAAGTCATAAAAGGGCCACGTTTGAAGACCCCTGTCGTAAGCCAAGGATCTGATCATGTCTCTCAAAATACAGGTCGTCCTTGACTTTCAACCACAACTGAGCCCAAAATTTCTGCTGCTAAGCAAATAGGTTTTGCCCTATTTTATGACTTCTTTGGTCACAGTTGTTAAATGAATCCCTGCAAGCTGTTAAGTTAGTAACACAACTATTAAGTGAATCTGGCTTCCCCATTGACTTTGCTTGTCAGAAAGTCGCAAAAGAGGATCATGTGACCCCTGTCATAAATATGAGTCAGTTGCCAAAAATTTGAATTTGAATCATGTGGGGACACTGCAATGGCTGTAAGTGGGAAAAACGGTCATAATTTTTTTTTCATTGCTGTTGTAACTTCGAACAATTAAAAAAATATGTTTTATTAATTTTTTACATAATCACCTTAATATTTAGTAAATATTGTGTTGTTTGGGTTTATATTTAAAAAACAATCAATAACAATTATTTTCTATAATTGTATAGTCCATATAATAGGTTTGCTTGATGTTTCTCTTCTTCCAAAATGATTTCTTTTCCCATCCTTGAATTAATACAATTCTTATTATTTGGATAAATAATTAAATATAGATATTTTTCTAATATTTCTGCAAATAGTAACCACGTTGATATAAAGCTTCTTTTCTAATGATTCATTTTGATTGCTTTATCATAGATCCTGTTTAAAATTCTTATTTAAATTTGTTTTCACCACAATATTCAAAACATTCTTACGAGTTTAAGATTTTCATTATGCTTAAGCATTTAAGTCTTTTTCCTCATACAGGCCATCCCAACACTTTTACATTTCTTATATCTTAAAAAAAGAAAAAAATCAAAAGAAAAGAAAAGAAAAGAAAAAGAAATAAGAAGATAGTATACTACTTAAAATACATATCCCTCTTAGACTAATGTACATTTATAGCCAGAATTTTTCTCTTCTTTTTAACCATATTCAAGCATATTAAATGAACTGTGGTGAATCTAGGACTACCAGTATGCATGGTCCTCTATTTACGACTATTCACTTAATGACTGTTTGAAGTTGCTATAGTGCTGAAAAATGTGATTTATGACCTGTCATTGCATTTGTGACCCTCATACCATCTCCAGGGTCACATGATCATGACCTAGGCTAGGGGTAGGCAACCTTGGCTCTTTTATGACTCATGGACTTCAACTCTCAGAATTCCTGAGCCAGCACGGCTCAACATGAAAACCTCTCCCTTTCCCCTCAGCATGGCTGGCTCAGGAATTCTGGGAGTTGAAGCCACGAGTCATAAAAGAGCCAAGGTTGCCTACCCCTGGTCTAGATCCTTTACACCGGGGGTTTTCAAACTTGGCCCTTTTAGGACTCATGGACTTCAGCTCCCAGAATTGCTGAGCCAGCATGGCTCAGCTTGGAAACCTCTCCCTTTCCCCTCAGCATGGCTGGCTCAGGAATTCTGGGAGTTGAAGTCCACGAGTCATAAAAGAGCCAAGGTTGCCTGCCCCTGACCTAGGCACTTGGCAATTGGTTTGCATTTATGACAGTTGCAGTGTCCTGGGGTCTCACGATCACTATTTGCGACTTTCCCAGTTAAGTTTCTGATAAGCAAAGTCATAGGGAAACTGGAAGGGATGGTTGCAAATCACCACCCCATCATGTTTCACTTAATGAGCACACCAAACAAGGATGTAAAATCACATGCAATCTTATAATGGCCCCCGCTTAATGAGTATGCCACTTAACGATGAATTTTGCAACCCCGATTGCAGTCCTAAGTCGAGGACTGCCTTGTAGATCAATTCAGGTCTTTTAATTGGCTCATAATCATATAATTTTTAAGTTGTGGGCAGGCATGGATTTCATTAGTTAAAAAGAACTATTAAGTTTTTCATGTATGAAAGGGAGGAACACAGTATGAAACTAAAAGATGGAAGCATCCTTTGTTGCTGTTGTTGTTGTTACTTGCGAAGTCATGTCCGACCCATCGCGACCCCATGGACAACGTTCCTCCAGGCCTTCCTATCCTCTACCATCTTCTGGAGTCCATTTAAGCTCACGCCTACTGCTTCAGTGACTCCATCCAGCCACCTCATTCTCTTTCGTCCCCTTCTTCTCTTGCCCTCCATCTTTCCCAGCATTAGGCCCTTCTCCAGTGAGTCCTTCCTTCTCATTAGGTGGCCAAAATATTTGAGTAAGCATCCTTTATGCTTTCCCAAAGATGTTTTTTCACGAGGCAACTGGACTTTCTTATTTTTCTTTGAAAACGTTTCGCTTCTCACCCAAGAAGCTTCTTCAGCTCTGACTGGATGGTGGGGAATGGAAGGATTTATTGGAAAGATTCCCCACCTTCCAGTCAGAGCTGAAGAAGCTTCTGGGATGAGAAGCGAAACATCTTCAGAGGAAAACAAGAAAGTCCAGTTGCCTCCTGAAAAAGCATCTTTGGGATAACTATACCTGGATGGCTGAGAAGCTCCACAGACATCCTTATGCTTTATTCTTATTTCATACAGATTCCTTTTTAAAAGAAATGATTCTCTTTAGCCACAGGGAGGCAGCAAACCACCATGTTCAGAACAGAATCATTAACTGTTGGGTTCTGTCCAAAACCTTGTAAAAGTTATTTATTTTTAATGTGATAAGAGTACCCCTATTTATCATATTTAATTAAATTTAATGTGATAAGAGTACCCTTATTTATCATATTTAATTTCAAATTTAAATGAAATTAAATTGAGTGCGGGCTCAGCCAAAGAAAGTTTTCTAAAAGTCACCTCTGTGCTGGATAATATTTCAAATAAGCTTTTGAAGCTGATTTGGGAGAATAGCAAAGGAGAAATTTTATATTGTTTTTTTTTTCTCCTAAAAGGGTGAGGAAGGTGTTTTACACTTTCCCTCTCTCTAGGAATAGTTACAAAAGATATTGTGAAACCTCTAGGACACAACAGTAAATATATAAACATGAATACAATAATTTTGCTTTTGGCCAGTGAGGAAAAATAGTTGTGATAAGCTAAAACAGCATGAATATAAGGGAAATCCAGAGTCTATTAAAACTTTTGCTTATAGGTCAGGATTATTATTATTATTATTTAGTATATCTATATAATGCCTTCCATCTGTTATGACATAGACAAAAAGCAAACTGGCCTATGGGCAAAAGTTTAATAGACTTTAATAAATCAGTGACTGTTATATAAACTTGCAACTTGCATCTCTTAGAGCAGTGGTTCTCAACCTGTGGGTCGGGACCCCATTTGGGGTCAAACGACCATTTCACGGGGGTCGCCAAACAAGGCTGTCCGCTATTTTTTCCCCTTTTCTTTGGCCACACCCCTGGCACCCGGTGATGTATAAGTGGTTGGGGGTCACCACAACATGGGGAACTGTATTATGGGGTCGCGGCATTAGAAAGGTTGAGAACCACTGTCTTAGAGCATGGGTAGGCAACCTTGGCTCTTTTATGACTCGTGGACTTCAACTCCCAGAATTCCTGAGCCAGCACGGCTCAGCTTGGAAACTCTCCCTTCCCCTCAGCATGGCTGGCTCAGGAATTCTGGGAGTTGAAGTCCACGAGTCATGAAGAGCCAAGGTTGCCTACCCATCTTAGAGAGAGCAAAGGTGGATTTCAGAAAGAATTCTGTTTTCTCTCTCTCTCTCTCTCTCTCTCACACACACACACACACACATAAAGAGAGAGAGAGAGAGAGACCAAGACAGAGAGACCAAGAGAGAGAGACAGAGAGAGAGTCAGAGAGAGAGATTTGCCAGCTGTCCCCTGAAATGTACATGAGGAAGGAGACATTCTAAATTATTCTCTTCCTTTCCAAACATCAAGGTGAAACTTTTCTTTCTTCCAACCACGATAGCAGCCATTAAAATTTGCTTTATGACTTGGTGAAATAGCTTCCCTGAGTAATGACCAAGACAGGGGTCATTTTTTATCGGTGTGGCATTTCCAGAAATGTCTTCATATGCAAATGTTAGAATTTTTCAACTGGTGGACAGAGCTTTGGGGAGCCTACATACTGTAGGTAAGTAAGTAAACTATTGTTGGGAGGGGGTTGTGCGTCTATGTGTGCCTATGTCAGGGGTAGGCAACCCAAAACACTCAAAGAGCCACTTGGACCCGTTTCCCACCAAAAACAAAACACTGGGAGCCGCAAAACCCTTTTTATATCTAAAATGAAGATAACATTGCATATATCCTTTTTTACCTTTATTATAGGTGTGTGTATATGTGTGTGTGTGTGTGTGTGTGTATGTGTATGTGTATATGTGTGTGTGTATACACACACACACACAGACAGAGAGAGAGAGAGACACACACACACACACATATACACATTAAAAATAAAAGTAAAAATATGACTCTTGGGAATATCCATACTATTAAAACAATGATCACCAAGAGAATGCTGTAAGAGAATAAAATTACATACACACACAGGTAAAAAAAGGATATATGCAGTGTTATCTTCATTTTAGATGTCAAAAGGGTCTCTCTCTCCCTCCCTTTCTATCTGCCCTTGATCTGCCACTCCTCTTCCCCCACTCTCTCTCTCTCCCTCTCTCTCTCTTTCTCTCTCTCTCTTTCTTCCCCCCCCTCTCCTATCTGCTGCTCACCTGGCAAGCTTCAAGCTGTTGTCCAACAAGATCA